GGCACATTGTTGCCCAAACGTATCCGTTCATTTCTCCTGAGAAAAATTCTTTATCCGAGCATTTCTCATTCCGAATCATCGGGTTCCCATGGCAATTCTGAATTTTTCACAGAACGCAAGTGAACCCCGGGAGCAATTTAAGTTGTAAGGGCCGAATAGCGTTTCATCAATATCCCTTGGCTACAGATAGTGATATATGGAAACAATAGGCCCTTAGTTAAAGTTAAACTGACCATGCCTAAAGCGTTGCTTTGTACCGGTTAAATTGCCGCCCATTGTTGGATGTCTATTGTTTCAGAATATTGCCATTCAGCCCCAGTTTGCGTTAACACGGGTACGACAGTGTGGCCCAGGGGCAACGTCCTCACAAGCTGTCACTATCAGCCATTATAGTCAAAAATTACTCGGTAACTTCGAGGGAAAGACTAACATGAAGTAGACGTAGAATATTCACACACAGGTTTATAGTTTATAGTGCTATGAAGACATCTCAAAAACAAGTCAAAACTTCTCATTCGTCGGTAAACACTTCGCATGCCCATAGGTCTTCCGTGTTCTGAAAACCATTCATTTGCAATGGACCTGGTAGTGGATAAACGGTCCCTTAAGGCCAATAATCTTAGGCGGCGATCTTCACGGTCTGTTGTTCTACGGCGGCGTCCAGTGCCCCTTGCTCTTTGCGTACGGCGTTCTCGAAGCCATGCCTGACAACACCTAACCACAGTGTCTACACTTCTTTGCACTCTAACTGCAATTGCCCGAAAAGAAAGTCCAGCTTCCCGAAGTCCCACTGTACGGCCCCTATCAAACTCACTAAGTTGACGAAATCGTACAGGTCTCCGTACTCTAGGCATCGTAACCGATCGTAAAGGATGTCAAGAACCAAAATCCGCCAACGTTGATTCTTTACTGCGGCTGAAATATTCATTTTTAGAGCGTTAGTGAATTAAAAAAAAGCAGTATAAAAACCGGAGTGTCCAACTGATAAGGCTGAAACATTTTTCACTTGTTATTTACAGTAAGATAAATACATTCACCAACTTTTATTAAAATAAAAACATTTAAACTGGGTGTTCGGATTTATATGTCACTTAGTATAAGTGTTTGTCGTATTTGATGATGCTGATCTTGATTGGTATCTTGAGTCCCCTATGTTATTATTCTTAAATTCAAGTTCTATACTAAAATTTGTACTCTGAAAAAATCTACATCAAAAATCGTTTGATCCGCTCCATAAATGCTGTTACTATCATCTAACCCTTGTTTGTACCAAGAAGCTTGTCATATCCTTTTCTACCAAAGGGGAATCACTTCTAGCAAATGATTTTGAAATAACAGTAACAGTACTACCACTTGTACTTTTACGAAACATAAACATCCTTCTTGGGAATATGATACCTTGTAACTTGTAAAACACTGAACAGTTCTAGTCTAGGTATTGTGTTTGAAACTTACATGGAACACAATATCTCGTATTCGTACAAGATACATGTAAATTGCACCACACTTTTATGGAATACGGCCCTGTCCAAAAAATAGTTTTTTCGGTCCAGATACCCACCCGGGAGAAACATAACCCTCCTTCTGAGGCAATCGGGTAAAAAGGTTAGGTTAAATTCAAAGCCAATATCAAAACTGGGATGTTGCCATATTTGTGTGCAATTTCCCTTTATACATATACTCTATTCAAGTCTCATTTACTTTCACTTAAAACAAATACCAGGCTACCTATCATTGAAAACGAAGAGTAAAATGATCTTAAATTTTGTCAGGCGTGAACATTCGTCAAACAATTATACTGCTTTCGTCAGTTCGATTAGGTTCGTCGTCCTAGAGACAAAGCCTAGGCATTGCTGATGTGTTACCAAAAAGCACGAAACACTGTCCGTGGTTGACTGTGTATGGTCGGACGAAGTAAGCAGCACGTTAAGCAGATCACATCTACTATAATTCCAGAATCGTCAGCTTCTAGCGGTCACAATTGTAAATTGAGGGCTACTAAACGCCAACTGAGATTTCTACAGTTGCCATACGCTCTCGCAGTGATCGATCCTGATAATAAATGGCGTTTTGTCGAACAAGTATGTAAACAGAGATTAGGTAGGTAACATACTGAATATATTTAAACGACCCTCTTAAGACGAACAGGCTCAATATCCTTCGAATACTGTAAAATATATCGATTATTTATTTGTGAAATGTGAATGTGTTTTCAGTGTAGATCATCACAAATATCGAGCTTCTAGGCACTGCTTCACACTTTCGTACACCTCCGCTATTTGTATTATGTCGTTTTTGCAACACGATTTTTACAACACATTTTTACAGCTTTTACAACAAATGATTGAAGGTGGGCATTTTTGAACTATTGAGTTCGTGAAACTGTTCTGAAGACGAAATAATATTCCACAAAACGTGAAGCTTTGAGCCGTTGTTCCAAAAAAGCTTCGAAGTGTTTTTTTGCTGGAATATTATGGATACAAACAATAAATGTATTTGTATGGATCATACCGAAGTTAATCCAAGTATGTTATTCCTCGTTGTTGTATCATCCCTTGTATATATTAATATTTTGGAATAACCCTGTATATAGCCGTATATAGTAATTTGCTGTAGTTTTTATACATGCACCCTGTATATATTAAAACAATCTCAAAGTATGCACTAGGGACATATTAAGGTTGCCACGGAAACAGATTTTTGACATCTTTTCCAGTTTGCTCATGAAACTACGTTCGTGTTAACAATAATTCTGAAACCTATTTGTATTCTTTAGTTGAAAATTGGGATTACACATTCTTAGTAGTCAATTAAAAAAAAAACGTGCCGTCTAAAGGCACTCGTGACGTACGAATCTTTCTCCATTACTTTTAAAATATAATCTACAGCACAAAAATAAGCATACCAAAAATTAACTAACATTCGTTTCACTCAGATTATTAATTTCCCTTTCGTGCAGCTTCCTCCTCATTTACTCTTTTGTAGGGCATCTCATTAAAACCCTACTGTAAAAAATAAGATCAAAGTGTATACAGACCATAATTAATTGTATACAAGTTCCGGACCTTGAAAAACACTGCGTCGACAGCAGGGCTTATTGAAAAAGTTGTCAGAAGTGTGTTATTGACAGCTTTTGTTGGCGAATCAGTCGGATGTTATTTTCATCTGACTAGATAATATTTATCGTAGGAAAAGTTTAAATACAAATTTAGGCGGAGATGGTAGGCGTAGTGCTAAGAGATATAGTCGAAATCACGAAAGATGACGATTACGTCATCATTTTAGTCTGTAGTAAAGACAAACGACAGCGATTATTATTAAGGTATCACTCAAAACCATGAAATAAAATGAAAATAAAAATAAGCAGTGAAATAACCTAACTTAGCAAAATCATAATATAAATTTGTTGTCATTATGTTTCTGACTCGTGATTTTATCATCGACGTACGTCCACTGATAAATTCAGCACAATGTATGGTATGACGTAATAGTCATCTTTCGTGATTTTGATAGATAAATTCTAGATTCTGCAATTTTGGACATGGCAGGGGATAGTGCGAAATTGATTGAATAGGGACAAAGTTTAACATTAAGGTAATGGTGATTAGAAAGTTTCGCAAATCAAAGTTTTTCCGGGGATGGACGGAACGTGTAGGTGTATCTGATTCGATAACCCTGAACAAGGCGGAAAAAACGCCTAAACTTTGCCAACGTGAAAAAATACACTTTTAACACCTAGACAGGGTGTTTCAGAAAGACGTGACAATATTTCTTAGGTAGAAAGTACATCCAAAGATAACAAAAAAAAGTTCCTATAAATATATATATATATAACTTGAGACGTGGTCATTGTCGTCTAAACCAGTTAGGTGAAAAATTAAAGCTTCCGCCTTTTGTTGGGTACTTCGACAAAATTTAAGCAAAGAGGACTCTTTATATTTTTTTAATTCTCTCTAGCTTTCAATGGACTTTGCCATCATCATCAGGAGCTGCAATTACAATGATAACAGTAGCAACAAAAGTGTAAAATGAATTTAAATTGAATCAACTTACAGTAGTATGTGAGGATGTTGCTAATTGTTGTTTTCGTATAGGATGAGGGAAACGTCCAGTAACATGGTGAGAGCTGGATACATGGTACAATGGTTAAAATTATATAAAATATGACAAGACAAGTTAAAGACCGATTAAAAATTATTTAGAAAACATTAGAGCATTACGTCGTGAAGCCACTTGATGATTTCACAAAATGGTGGTCATGGAATAATGAGTGAGATGAACATTTGACAGAAGACCGAAGGTTGTCAATGTCTGTGTTGAAAGATGGAACGAATTGTGGGCGGTTTAACAATTTCTTACATAACATTCTGAAAATCACATCATCTGAAGTGATTTGGCAACGTTTTGGCACACGCCCACAATTCGTTCCATCTTTCAACACAGACATTGACAACCTTCGGCCTTCTGTCCAAGGTTCATCTCACTCATTATTCCATGACCACCATTTTGTGCAATCATCAAGTGGCTTCACGACGTAATGCTCTAATGTTTTCTAAATAATTTTTAATCTGTCTTTAACTTGTCTTGTCATATTTTATATAATTTTAACCATTGTACCATGTATCCAGCTCTCACCATGTTACTGGACGTTTCCCTCATCCTATACGAAAACAACAATTAGCAACATCCTCACATACTACTGTAAGTTGATTCAATTTAAATTCATTTTACACTTTTGTTGCTACTGTTATCATTGTAATTGCAGCTCCTGATAATGATGCCAAAGTCCATTGAAAGCTAGAGAGAATTAAAAAAGTATAAAGAGTCCTCTTTGCTTAAATTTTGTCGAAGTACCCAACAAAAGGCGGAAACTTTAATTTTTCACCTATATATATTTATATACGAATATCCGAAGAAATTAAAAGTACAATTCATAATTTAGTATAGAATACAATTTTGGATGAGTATTATTTAAACAAAGTGCGTCTTTCTGTTTGCGATCGTTTCAAAGCATAGCTAAACAAAAACAAAGTTTTAGGTAAATAAAACGTTTGTAAAATTCTTTTCTGTCCTCAGATCCACGCGGTACCGCCTCGGAAGATGCGCCCGAGAATCAACTCGGCCATTTTCGTGTCCAACAGCGGCCCAGGCCTGGACACCAGGGAGTTCTTCCGCAGGCACGGCAGCGTCTCCAGGCTGTGTCGCAAAGCGCGCAGCGTGGACAACATCTCCTTGGAGGAGAAACACTTCGGGCTGCCGCAGCTGTCAATTTCGGGACCTTCGCCTCCGGAAGATGAAGAAAAAGAGCTGGACAGGGAAATCTCGGAGACGGAAACGTTGATGAGGCAAGAATGACGCAGATGTTCCACCTGGGATTGAAGTGGTGGACAACATCTACGGGGAGGCGAAGCACCTGGAGCTGACCCAGAGGTCGAGATAGGCCGTCGATATGAAAATTTGATTAAGCAAGAATAACGCAGATGGTGGACAACATCCCCGAGGAGGTGAAACATTCAGGGCTGCCCAAAGTGTCAATTACTGAGACGTCGCCTCCAAGGAATGAAGGGATTAAAGAATTAATTAAGCAAGGGTAACGCAGTTGGTGGATAACATCCCCGAGGAGGTGAAATACCTAGGGCTGCCCTAGGTGACAACTTCTAGGCCTCCGCCTTCAGAAGACGAAAAATAGGTTAGAGAGACGGAGACGGAAATGTTAATGAGGCAAGAATGACGCAGATATTCCATCAAGTATTGAAGAAGTGGACAACATCCCCGAGGATGTGAAGCACCTGCGGCTGTCCCAGCTGCCTATTTCGGGGCCTTGGCCCCAACGAACAAAAAATACGTCCAGAGAGATCGCAAAGATAAAAATGTTGATTAAGCAAGTGTGACACCGATGGTGGACAGCATCCCCTAGGGGGTGAAACGCTTAAGGCTGCCTCTAGCGTTAAATTGGGGTCCTTCACCTCAATAAGATGAAGAAAAGGTTTAAAAAGGATCATCGCAAGTGTAGAAACGTTAATGAAGCAAGAATGACGTAGATATTCCGTTGAAGAGGTGGACAACATCTCCGAGGAGGTGAATCAGCTGGGGCTGCCCCGGGTGTTCGGAGCACTTGCCTCCAGACGAAGTAGAAAAATGCTGAAGATTTTAATGAGGTAAGAATAACGCCGATGTCACACCAGGTGTTGAAGTCATGGACAACATCTACGAAGAAATGAAGTACTTCGGGCTGCCCGAGGTGTCTGTTTAAAAACAGAGCTCTTTCGTACTGCAATATTTAAGTTTGAGTTGGATCGGAATAGTTTTAAGCGGCTTATCTTCGAAAAAAGATGGTATATCTCAAATGCGTCAGCTTGTGTATTATCAAAGGTTTATATGTGATTGCTGTGATGTAACTAACTTGCCTCGATTGCAGTGATTATAACTTTTACTTGGAGCAATAAAAAAGGACAGAAAGCTTGAGAAGTAGTGAGAAAACTTTTCGGTGCCAAGTGCGAGTATTATCTGTGTAAGTAGGAAGAAGAACGCGCGAAATAATGTAGAAGTAGAACTTGTAGAAAAATGAACTGGTGAGCAAAAGATTGTACAAGGAACAATTTATAGATGCAAAATCGTGTAATTGAAGGTTTATATCACGAATTTGTGACGTTCAAAATCATATTTTTCAGCCTTGACCTAGATCCAGATCGTTGTGCCCAGAATCTTCCAACATACCACCCAAAAAAATTATTTCAAGAGTACTCATATCTCGATAAAGATGACTATTACGTCATACCATAAATTGTACTAAAGTAATCAATGGACGTACGTCGATGATAAAATCACGATGTCAGGATTTTGCGAAGTTAAGTTATTTCACTGACTATTTTCATTTTATTTCATGGTTTTGAGTGGATGCTTAATAATATTTTTAGAGGGGAGTTTTATTTTTGAAAAAAACCGGTTATGAGTAGAGTACTTTAAGACAGGAACACCAAAGACCAAAGTATCATTCGAAAACAACCTAACCTGCTTTAACATAACCTAGCTATCCATCTTTCAAATATGATCGATCATGCATCATGAAAACATCGTCTATCTTTGACGGATACATGCAAGTTTAGACAATAAAATTCTGTTTGTCTCTGTCTAACATATCTGAAACTTCATTATAGTAGAAATCACAGAAGATGACGATTACTACGTCATCATTTTAGTCTGTAGTAAAGACAAACGACAGCGATTAGTGAATATTTTTAATGAAGTTTCAGATATGTTAAACAGAGACAAACAGAATTTTATTTTCTACACAAACTGTATTGCTAATTTGCATGTATCCGAAAAAGATAGACGATGTTTTCATGTTCCATGATCGATCATATCTGAAAGATGAATAGTTAGGTTATGTTAAAGCAGGTTAGGTTGTTTTCGAGAAACACTTTGGTCTTTGGTGTTCCTGTCTTAAGGTATTCTACTCATAACTGTTTTTGTCGAAACAAAAACTCCCCACTAAACTTATTATTAAGGTATCCCTCAAAACTATGAAATAAAATGAAAATAAAAATGATCAGTGAAATAACCTAACTTCGCAAAATCATAATATATATTTGTTGTCATTATGTTCCCGATATCGTGATTTTATCATCGACGTACGTCCATTGATTACTTCAGTACAATTTATGGTATGACGTAATAGTCATCTTTCGTGATTTTGATTATAGAAATATTCACAAATCGCTGTCGTTTGTCTTTACTACAGACTAAATTGATGACGTAATCGTCATCTTTCGTGATTTCGACTATATTTGAAAAACGAATAGTGATAGCATGGCTCCAGGTTTCCGAACAATGTTGCCAGGTGTAGAGAAATGTCCGCAAATTTGGAAGATTCCCATTACTCATCCAGGAGTTTTTAGAAAACTTCAGACGCGATACGAATTATTACGGAAACGCAATTTTTTGCTCATCAAAGTTCTTCAGCTTTACCGTATAGCCAACGTAGAAAATATTTTACTACCATTTACCAAAAATGTCCTTTAACTAACCTGTATAGGTGCAAGTGTTTTCCGAAATATCCATTACTTGAACATATCCGTAATTGACGAAATCGAAGGTCAAACAAGATTTTTTTATCTAGTTGGGACCAAACAATGGAGTAACCAAGAGCTTTAAATATATAGAATTTATAAAAGAAAGTGAGAGAAACAAATTGATTGGACGATATTATTTTCCAAAATACTTGCACAAAGAATATACTAACTTGATCTAACGTATAGCTTTAACTATTAATGTAAGGGTTACCAAAGGTCCAATACTTACGTGTAAAAATTATCCCTACCATTTTCAGTAATAATGAAAAGCTTTATCTATCTTCTTAGTATTTATTAGACATCTCTTATGGACCCAGAGGTGATTGGAAGCAGAATTTTTGTTAGATACGAATTTTACAATTGCCTGACTGTCATATATATCGACACTTGAACACAGAAATTTACTTTTTACGAATAAAAATATTGTAATCTACATCAAAGAAATTTTTTGCTTACAATCATCATGGTGATAACTTCTAACTGAAATAAGTTTGTGCTAAAACTGTAATATTACATAATAAAAGAAAGTACTTCAACAGCTATAGGGCTTTACATTTGACTGGTATTTCTTCTTTCTTAAGTATATGTAGCTAAAAATGCATTAGGAAATACATGTAAACGATTCAGCAAATATTTTCAATGAATATGCACAAATTTTGAGGGTATATTGTAAATAAATATATTGATTTCGACCACATCATCATCATATTTTCATCTAATCTTTTGTAAAACATACCGTTTTATTCAGTATTCAAAATATGTTTTTCCCTAACAATTTGTGTTAGTGTAAATTTCTCACTAAAAACTCATACTTCATCTGTATAGATTTTTTTACATTTCCAAATATCTTAACAGAGACAGCAAAGTGTAAATATGGCTGTCCAACCTTTAGAATATGTTATACATATTTCTTATATAGTCAATTATATTATGATATTTTATATAAGTAGGATGATAACTCCCTTTTCAAATACCTATACAATTGAAGGTCGGTAAGTAAGATCTTGTAACTGTTCGTATATATCATTTTACTTTTAGTCGAAAAGGTAGAATGGGTCCAACAAAACAGAACGTAGAAACATATCAAGGAAATAGATATGTCAAAAAATCGATTGTGTATCGAAGTTTTTCAGCAATTTAAAAAACTTGACCACATCTTGATGTTACCTAGGCGTTGTTCAAATGAAAACTGTCGAACATAGGTAATAAAAAATTCATCAATCCATCAATATAAAATGTAGAAAGATTGAAAAGTACTTATATTAATCTACAACCTATTTTCCAATCCAAAAGAATAAATGTGAAACTAATCATGTTGTTCTTTTGTCTGTGATCATATGATATGGCCTTTCTATTGACCTGTTATCATTTGAAATTTTAAAAACAAAACAACTATATTCTATATGTACCTATACTGTACATCGTGTATATAGGTTTAACACTACGATTTTCTTTGTGTACTGCAAATAAATCATATATCCCTACATAATTTATTATTTGTTTCATTCATCGACCTATACCCACCTATCAACTTGAAAAAACCGGGGAAAATATTACTAATCTGATTGGAAATCTTAGGCAACCAGTAATTCACCCAAATTTTCAGATGCTAGACGGCAGCACTTCATAGAACTTGAAGATATGAAAGTCTTGTACAGTTGAAAAAAAGGCGTGGTCAACGGCCACCTCTCAAGCAAAGCCACGCCTTCAAGATGGCGGTACCGCGCCTATTATTTTTGACAGCGAACAGAATATACTGACGAACTGACGTCGACGTGTCAAAATTTTGATTGTAGTGTTAAGAGCCTTCATAAAGTTTTTCAAAATGATTTTAGGCTTATTTTTACTGATATCCATATTTTCAACTACATTAGCCCAAGGCCCTACGTTAGTCCTACTCGACAATCAAGTCATAAGAGAAACCCATTCGATATTTTTCAAGTCTTTGCAAGGTAAGAGAACACTATAAGGTTATTGCCGGCTTTGCGATCATTTTTCAATTTTTCCGCAGAAAGAGGCTACACGTTAACATTCAAAATAGCAGACGATGCTTCGTTGGTGCTGTCGAAGTATGGTGAGCACCTTTACAAGCACCTGATCATCTTTGCGCCAGCCGTGGAAGAATTCGGTGGTATGTTGAATGTTGAGACCATCACACAGTTCATAGACGATGGAGGTAACGTCCTGATAGCTGGTAGCAGTGTCACAGGAGATGTTTTGAGGGAACTGGCCTCCGAATGCGGCTTTGAGGTAAGAAACAATTACTTTTTTATATAGATTTTACGTTTCACCTCAAAATACCCAAGATCTTGCAATTTTTTGTTACTCAAAGAATTAATCAAACTTTCAGGTAGATGAAGAGGGAACCTATGTAATAGATCACCTGAACTATGACATAACAGACCAGGGGCAACACACGAAATTAGTGATACCATCAGATTTGCTCATAGATGCTCCGGTTATCGTAGGTGCCAAGAAGAACACAGCACCGCTGCTCTATCAAGGCACCGGTATCTTGGCCGATGCCGAAAATCCATTGGTTCTGCCACTTCTGACAGCTGACAGCACTGCTTATAGCTACAATCCTGATCAACTCATCAAGGAAGTAAGTCATCTGCTTTTTTGCCATTATATTTATTCGATAGAACCATATATTTGAAGTTGTACAGATGCTTGAAATTCATAACAATAATTCATCTCTTTAAATTAAATCTTATATATATATATATAATATATTGATCTTCAAAATTGCATTTTTTTTATAGGTTCGTTTAAAAACCTCACATTTATGGGAGAAATTTTTGAACTTGAGTCTTCCTTTTTTTTGTAATCGTTTGTTAGTTATCCCTTAAAATGAAGAGCTTGCTAGACCAAAATTTATAGTCTAATCATATTAGCAAATTTTCCTGAAATAATTGTAAAGTCTGGATTTATTGCCAAAAGTAGTTCAAGGGGGTATTTAAAACATCTTCGCATAAAATGGGTACACCAATGTTTGTGGGAAAAGCTTTTATTTGACAACAGAGAATGAGAAAACGTGTTTTTTCGGATTCAATCGAAAGTGTTGAGAAATTCTCAAAAACTACTTAACCAATCTACTCCAATTTTGTTGTGATTATTTAGAAGTACAAATTTGGAGAATTTTTTTTTTTAATATCAAACCATCGTCGTATTATGAACAAGTGCCAAAACCTGCAGTTTGCCGTGGTTTTCAGCTATAACTTTTTTGCTATTACACTTTCGATTGAATCCAAAAAACACGTTTTCTCATTCTTTGTTGTTGAATTAATAGTTTTCCCACAAAATTTGTTGTACCCATTTTATGCGTCCATGTTTTGAATACAATATTGAACAACTTGCAGCAATAAAACCAGACTTTACAATTATTTTGCAAACCAGGGTATTATTGTCAAATATAAAATATTCCAAAAATTGAAGCTCTTGATTATAAGTATACTAAGTGACATATAAATCCAAACACCCAGTTTAAATGGTTTTATTTTAATAAAATTTTGTATAAGTACTTAATGAAACATAATAAGTAAATGGTAAAAATTTCAAAATGATTGCACTGCTTTAAAGCCCTTTGACCTTTAATAATGTGTGGATGCACCCTGATGTGCTACGCATTCTCCAACGCGCCTAGGCATGCTTCTGATCAGGTGGTCAATGTCCTCCTGTGGTATCTCATTCCAGGCAACCACCAACTCCTCTAGAAGTGCTTCTAGAGTCTGAGGAGGACATTGCAAATTGAGCAATCTCCTACCCATCATATCCCACACGTGCTCAATTGGGGATAAGTCAGGAGATCTTGGTGGCCATGGTAACAATGTGACATCATTATGTTGAAAGAAGTCTATTGTGACTCTGGCAACATGTGGTCGGGCATTATTTTGTTGGAAAGTTGGATCTACCAGGGTGTCAAGATAGGGTAAAAGATGCGGTTCTAGAACTTCGTGGATATAATGCTGCGCGTTCATGTTACCTCTGATGAAGATTAAAGGTGACCTGGAACCATAAGCTATAGCACCCCAAACCATAACTCCAACAGTGTGATGAACATGTCTTTCAACAAAAAACTGTGGATTCCTCCTTTCACCAGGTCGCCTTCTAACCCTGGTACGACCATCGTGCATGCCCAAACAAAATCGAGACTCGTCACTAAAGACAATACTGTTCCATTCCTGATCCCAGAGTGACCGTTGTCTGCACCACTCAAGGCGATTACGTCGGTGTTCTCGAGTTAAAGGGAGGACCCAGTGTGGCCGGTATGAAAACAAGCCAAAACTTCTCATTCGTCGGTAAACACTTCGCATGCCAATAGGTCTTCCGTGTTCTGCAAACCATTCATTTGCAATGGACCTGGTAGTGGAGAAACGGTCCCTTAAGGCCAATAATCCTAGGCGGCGATCTTCACGGTCTGTTGTTCTACGGCGGCGTCCAGTGCCCCTTGCTCTTTGCGTACGGCCTTCTCGAAGCCATGCCTGACAACACCTAACCACAGTGTCTACACTTCTTTGCACTCTAACTGCAATTGCCCGAAAAGAAAGTCCAGCTTCCCGAAGTCCCACTATACGGCCCCTATCAAACTCACTAAGTTGACGAAATCGTACAGGTCTCCGTACTCTAGGCATCGTAACCGATCGTAAAGGATGTCAAGAACCAAAATCCGCCAACTGGGTGTTCGGATTTATATGTCACTTAGTATACTTTTGTTGTTGTTTTGAGACTAAAAAATATTATATGAACCACAAATTCAATTATAGTAGAAAGGCGTAAGGAGCAATTCTTCATAATAACTCCAATTTTCTAGGTAGCAACTTTTTTGAATATCAAGCACACACCAGGCTTTTGTATATTCTAATCCAATTGATTTTTTTTGTTAATATCTTAATTTTTATATTGATTTTATTCCAAATACTTGATTTTTTTACTTTCTTTTGCAGTTACACAAACTCGCCAGTACTAGAAAATTATTTTCTACTTTTTAGTTTGATTTGCTCTTAAAGCATAACTATAATTATTTAACTTTGTTTAGAATATGTAGATCTTTCCAATGAGTATACACTTTTTCAGTATCCCCACGCGTCTGGTAAAGATACTGTCCTGATTGCAGCTCTACAAGCTAGAAACAATGCCCGAGTTGTGTTCAGTGGTTCTATTGCGTTTTTCTCAGATGAGTACTTTGAGTCAGCAGTCAAAAAGGCACATGTAAGTTTTTCCATGTTAATCTAGAGGCAAATTTATAGTTTGCAAACCCAATAAGATGATCCTCATGTGTCCCAAACATTTTCATAACAATGGGAAACACTCGACACCAGGACCATTTTATAACATTTACAAAATCCTGTTTGCAAGGCATATTTATTTTCAAACTGTCATAGGGTGGTTTAGAGGCTGCAAAATCTGGAAACCAAGCTGCAGCTACAGCAGTTAGCCAGTGGGTGTTCAAGGAACACGGGCAGTTGAGAGTAAAATCTGTGAAACATCACAAAGTTGGCGAGACTGAACCACCTCAAGCTTACACTATCATGGATGATGTGGTAAGTGAATCCAAAGTTCGTGATTGAGAGTCAGTCTCCAGCTGTAATGGAGGCTACAGCTCGTCAAGTGTAGGAAGAGATGCGAATTTTTGAATAACGTCACGCCTTCTCGGTGAAGAGTAGTCTCTTGTCGTGTCTAGATTAGTTAGCGTACAGTCAGGAGAAAAATTGTCAGGTGGTGAAACAACTTTATTACTTATTGTCTGTGAATTGTATGTTTTGTTACGAATGTCGTGGGTCGAATACATAGAATTTTACGCTGTTAATTGTCGCCATTTATTCCTCGGTGCGCTAAGAGATTTACTCGTTTATACGTTTATATGTGACTTGAACCGAATTGAGTTGGTATGGGAATCTTTGAAACAGTATGTGGCTGAGACAAATGTAGATTTTATTCTCTGTGCAACGACTTTTTCTCGTCTTATCCCACAGAAGAATGGAAAAAGCGATGTGAGCATGCCAAGGGTTTTAAGAAACAGTATATGGAAATGAAACCAGCACTCGACTTAGTTGTGGATCAAATAATAATATACCTAGACGAAGATAGCGAGAGCGAAACCGAAAATTTAAGTTTAAGTAGTCCCTACACTTGACGAGCTGTACTTGGTCCTTATCGCAAGTGAGAAATACTCAAAGGGTTGCAAAATTTGTTGTTTTTGACAGCAATGTGGTGTGAGATGCTTGCTTGAGAGGATGTACAGCAGACGCTCGATAATGTAAACTAATTTAATCCAAGTGTGGTTCACATTATCGAAATGTTTACATTAGCGAACGTGATTTATATAATATTTGATCATTACAAGAAAAGTTTAATGCATACTATTTATAACAAAATAAAGAAATATTCTAACAGCGATAAGTATTTTTCTAATTAGGAGAAAAATAATTAACAATTTTTGTCTGCGTAAATTTGCGCTTAGCGTTGTCTTCCAATGCCTGCGCCCGTAATTTACGAAGAACTAAAATATCCGTGTATGAAACTTCTTTTCTTTCAGCCCAATCTGAAGCTTGGTTAAAAACTTGTATAGCTTGCGCGTCATTCACTACACTTCTGACTTCAATGGGATCGTTCTCATCATCCTCACTGTCCATATCCTCCTCCTTATCAGCATCATTCGTCTGCTTATCTTCGTTCCATAAATTAATATCAGCAGGAGTACAAACAATGTTGGGATTCACTGTTTTCAATAAATCAACACTAATAACATTATCATTATTGGATCGCAAACGTTCTCTAATTACGCTTAAGGGGACATCGTCTTCTTCATCATCATTATTGGTACAAAAGAGATTGTTCCAACATTTTTGAATAGTTTGGTGGTTAAGTTCATTCCAGGCCATATGTAAATCTAAAACAGCTTCTTGTAATGTTACTTTTTTTAAAGGAACAAAAACAGATGTTAACAACTATAGACCAATATTAATAATATCCAGTGTAGCAAAGGTTTTTGAAAAAGTTTTATCTACCAGAATGATTCGATACCTCACAAAATTCAAAATTTTAAGTGAAAATCATTATGGATTTACAGAAGGGAAGGCTACATCGGACGCAATAACTAAAATTGTAAATCAAATACATCAAAATATTGATAACAGAATCCCTTCAATCTGAATTTTTGTTGATTTAAAGAAAGCTTTCGACACAGTTAATCACAAATTATTATTAGAAGCATTGGAGAGAATTGGTTTCAGAGGAAACGCGTACTCACTGATCGAAAGTTATTTGTCAAATCGCCCACAATTTGTGCAGATATCAGGATCATTTAGTAAAGAAATGTATATTAAGTGTGGTGTCCCACAAGGAACTGTCTTAGGTGTTATTCAATATATATTTAAATGATATTTTCCAAATTAATTGTGTTGGCAAAATAACTAGTTTTGCAGATGATACTGCAATATTATATGAAGGCACTGACTGGTCTGATCTGAAAAATGTAATTGAAAATGATTTTATCAAAATTATTCGGTGGTTTAACAGTAGAAAATTAAGCATTAACTACTCTAAAACACATTTTTTACCATTTGGATCTTATGCTAGACATCTGCCAAATTACACAAATTTCTCCTTCAATATTAATGATCAAAAATGCAAATTAATAGAGTGCCCAACATAAAATACCTTGGAGTGGTCTTGGATCCTCACTTACGATGGGACATCCATGTCAATTATATTTTAAAGAAAGTTAGATTTGTATCCTACAAAATTAAATACCTTGGGAATATATTGACAGAAAAATATCTTCGAACGTTATACCATGCACTGATTGAGCCTCATCTCACAAATGGTATATTAGCATGGGGAGCTGCATGTTCCTCACATATCTATAATTTAGATGTTTTTCAAAAAAGTATTCTAAAAATGATATTTAAAAAACCGAAACTTTATCCCACTGAAAAATTATACGCAGATGTTCGAATCTATGATATAAGACAGCTTTATTTCTTACACAGTATCACTCACTACCATAAATTTGTAAACACCGACCAAAAAATTAAACATAATCATTATACCAGGTACATTGTAGCACAGTAGTTCCTCAACCGCATACATCTATAATGCAGCGATCATATCTCTATTTAGCGCCTAAATTTTATGAAATTATACCTAAAGACTTAAAAGATTTACGTTTCGGAAATTGTTTCAAAAGAAATTTAAAAAGGTGGCTACATTCTATATCTAGGACTGAAATTCATAAACTCATAAATACGAACATCAACTAAATACATGATCTACTGTAGCTAATTTTTGTCCTTTTTTGTCATTTGCATTCTACAGTTTCAACTTAAACTATTGGTCCATGTACAGGCGATGCCTTCTATTGGGCCTGTTTTGATTTTATATTTATTTACTCATATTGTTTGTTATCTTTGTACATTGAGTGAATAAATATTATTATTATTATTATTATCATGGCAGCTTTCGATGATGGGTTGATGAAGCTCATCCTATCGTTTAGGTTGGGAGTAAATTCAATAGATTCCAAATGGCCCCGTAGAAAAAAGTCTAATCGCCTCGAATCAGGAGATTTATCAGGCCGTTGTGTGTAAAGATAAGTTTTCAGGATTCTTTGATAAGACAGACGAAAGTAGAATCTTCCTATAGTATAGTTTGGTGAGTCTTATTATATTCTGGTCCATCGGTTGAATTAACGGTGTTACGTTGGGCGGCATGTACATGACGAAAATTGACCCATCCCTGCTCCTCAGTTGTTGCTCGGGAGGATGACTTGGTGCATTATCCAATAGTAACAATGCTTTTATTGGAAGCTTCTGTTGTTTTAGGAAACCTTTTACCTACAAATTGAAAACACATCTTCAAATTATGAATAGAGCATTTGTGATAATTGATTGTCATACCTGAGGGACAAAGCACCTGTGGAACCATTTCAGGAATATACTGCTAGTCATCCAAGCGGTTTTTGAACAGTCATAATCAACAGGGATATTATCATTTTTAAATGAACGCGGATTTTTTGCTTTCCCAATTACCAGTGGCTTTATTTTGTGTGAACCATTAGCATTAGTGCAGGCTAGAAACGTTATTCGTTGTTTCTCCGGCTTTCTTCCCGGGGCAGATTTTTCAAATGATGCAGCATAGGTAACATTTTCCAATAAAGGCCACTTTCATCTGCGTTGTAAATTTGTTCCATTCTTAAATCTAGCTCGGTAATTGTTTTCATCAATTTTTCTTTGAATGGTTGCACTAATTGTGGTTGTGCTGATAATTTTTCACCAGATATAGACAGCAGTCGAATTCCATATCTTGTTTTGAATCGTTGTAGCCGGCCATCACTAGCTACAAAATTTTCAGTTTCTTTCAGTTTTTCATTTAACAGTCTCGCTCTCTGTTTAAGTACTTCGCCACTAACTGGGACATGATTTTCCCGTTGTTTTAAAAACCACTTATACAGGGAATCTTCCATTTTAGGTGCCTTCGCATTTTTTAAAGTTTTTCTTTTTCCCGGACCTCCACATGTATTGCACGTTCTTTGTAAAATTTGAGTTTTCATACGCTTAATTTTACAGATTGTTGCTTTCGATACTCCATATTTTTTTGCTAACTGTGTCACTCCCGCACCTAGTGCAACTTCGTCTATGATTTTCACTTTCTCACTCAACTTTAAACACTTTCTTTATAGGATGTGGATGCCATAGTCGTAAAATATATCAACGCGTGCAATGTATTCACTTAAGTTCAAAAATGAAATACACACGTACGTATAAACGTATCCTAAACGATCATACGACTGACCGAGTTTGTCGTATTGAGGTGAATCCCCTACAGTCTACATCATAAATCGGGGACTCCCCGACGCCCGACATAAATCATCGAGGCTTCAGCATTTTACCGTCGCGCTGTTTCCGTGCGCCGAGAGTTGTTTACGTTATCGAGCGTACACATTGTTTACGTTATCGCGCGATCCGTTTGATCCTATAGAACGAAGTTTGTGTTTACATTAGCGCAAGTTTTCATTATCCCGTGTTTACGTTATCGAGCGTCTGCTGTATTTTCAAAATTTCCCCTTTCCTTGTATTTTTTTAATTACGCTTAATGTTTCTAGGTTTACACCACTGAGATCGAGCTCCTGGAAAATGGCCAGTGGAAACCGTACACCGCCGACGACGTCCAATTGGAATTTGTAAGAATCGATCCATTTGTAAGAACTACAATGAAACGTAAACCCAGTGGAGAGTACGAGGCTAGGTTCAAGATTCCAGACGTATACGGAGTATACCAGTTCAAAGTGGAATACGACAGAGTTGGGTATGTATAATTATTGTCAACCACTTATGCTTACAACTTTACAGGGTGTTTCCTCATCCAGTATCAATATTCGAGGTGCCGATTTTTGGGTCTCTTTTTAATAACTCCATATAGAGAACTATAATTGCATAAAAAACGCGTTTTTCATAGTTCTTGAAAATTGTGTCACACTGAACTGGAATAATTCAATTTGCATATTTTCGTGTAAATGTGAGAATTTCGCGATTTAACCTTGATCAATGCGCAGCAAATCAAGAAATGATAGTTTGAAACTAGCGCGATTTAGCCCATTGCTACCAAGAGCTAGCCAGTTGCCAGATGAAGTCTTCAGTGACCTGGACTTCGACCAGCCGAAATGAACGGCTCTTTGCCTTTTTCAGATAATTTTTTCCTTAATACGCAACGAAATGATAATTTTGTTTCAGATACACAAGGCTGTACAATTCTACTCTGGTCTCGGTGCGTCCTCTTCAGCATACGCAGTATGAGAGATTCATCGTCAGCGCGTATCCGTACTATACGGGAGCGTTCTCTATGATGTTCGGCATGTTCGTATTTTCCTTCGTCTTTTTGCACATGAAGGACGATGAAAAAAAGAGCAAGAAAGAGTGAAGCTAAACCGTTTTGTATTTCCTTTTTTTACTTGTTAAATAAAAAGTAAGATTGAACAGCTTGTTTTTGTTGAGTGGTGACACACCGTCAAAGCTATCCGCAACAATATCACGTAACTACATTATATCGATTTTATATGTCATTTTGTATTTTTCGATATGATATCCTAGTGAATATAGTGACGTCAAAATGTCGGCATTTTTAAGGCACTACTGACGTTCGCCGACCAACAAACATGACGTCATTATAACTGTCTAATGTCACACCCAATTGACGGCCCCAATGACGTGTAACGTGACATATATAAAGTCGATATGACAGCGTTGACAGACTTCTAAAAAGTTCCTTGTGCAACTTGAAGTTATGGCCTCTGAGGTTATTCAATGACAGATGAAACAAGTGCGACATGTCAACAACAAATAAATTATGCAGTGCTGTAAAAGTGATGATACGATTACCCCGCAAGCTTCTGACATGAAAAGTAGGCAGTTTGGAGAGTTAAGATCATCTTCATAAGTTAATCTACTCATAATTATGGCATACGTGCTGCACGACGCTATTTGCAATTTTTTTAATAATGCAGTTTTTGATAAAGTCGGAAAAACTATTGAAAAAGAATAAATATAACTGGACCACGGAAAAACTCAAAAATAAAATTCCCGTGTGTTCAAAAATTTTCTGTCTCAAAATAACATATTTTAAAAGAATAAATATTATATCAAAACAAAAACCTATAAGTAGATTGAAAGGTAGGTTACCTAGCTTTTTTTTAAACCAAGTGCTAATTGGGAAAATCCGTAAAAAAAACATGCACCTGTTCGTTACAGCATTTTGAATTAAGTACAACAGAATTAGCCAATATATATAATCAAATATCATAATTTTATTAAAGCGAGTTCCACTCGTTGTCAAGCCGAGGATTTCAATTTAGAATTTGAATTTTTGTTAGTTAGATAACTTGCAAAATGGTGGTGATGGGTTAGAAGTTACGATACGGTAATTTTATTGCTCGAAACGTATGTCTTTGATCAGTGCAGTTAGCTAAGAAAGAAGGCGTGGTCTACTCAAGAGAGCGTGTGGTTTTACCACAGCCGACGTCAACTACGAGCCGTGAACAAAGAAATCTGGCAACGTAGGTGGTAGTGTTACTCCCGCCGCTGCTTGTTGCATCGACGCAACTCGTGCTCAAAACGCTGAGAAAACATAACCTTTTCAATTTGTGATTTTGGAATCCCAGAGGCTGTAATTAAGAGATAAGCTTGTTTTCTAAGCTTCAAAGTGTGTGTATGCGTTCAAAGTGATCGGTGACTATAATATATGAGAAATAGACTCCAGTTGTAGTGCTTCTGTGCTTTAAAAATAAACTAAGAAGTGTGACTGTGGCTGTTCGCGCCTCAGGACGCTAAGGATTTCAACTATTGAAAACGTGCAAATTCAGGTTGCATTTTTCTTTTTTCATTTATCAAGTATTTGACGCAGACAATATGCCTCGTTGTTGCTGTGTTCCTTTATGCAATGCAAACTATAATTCTGCTTTGAAAACAGAAAGCTATGTTTCAACTTTTCGCTTCCCAAGTACCGAAAGTCTGAAAAACAAATGGCTTATGGCAATTCCCAGAAAAAATTGGACACCTTCAAAATATTCAGCTGTGTGCAGTCGTCATTTTAGAGAATCGGATATCATCAGGACAGAAAATATAGTTTTGGCGGATGGAACAGTCCAAAATAATAGACCTTTGAAATATCCAAAATTGAAAGAAAATGCTGTTCCCTCCATTTTCCCAAACTTGCCATCATATCTTTCAAAAACTGAAGCACCCAAAAGAACTGACCCAATGCAAAGAAAACAAAAATCAATTGAGAAACATGAAAAAGCTATCCAGAATTTCGATGATATGGATAAGATCAAAGATAAATTTAGTTCAAAAATGTGGACTTGAAGTTATTTGTGTTGTTACTGATAATCACCGAACTAATAAAGCAATGTTCAGGAAATTAGCAAAGGATTCATCAGAAAATTATTCTATTCCAAATCCTCATAATCCTGATAAGAACATATATTTAACTTATGATGTTGTGCATATTTTCAAGAGTATCAGAAATAATTGGATTAATTTAAAAAACCTAGACAAAACTTTTGTATATCCTAATTTTGACAATAATGATATTATTCAGTATGCTAAATTTGAAGACATTCGTGCTGTATATCAATTGGAAAAAGAAGCTGTAGTTAAGAAAGCATATAAATTAAATTATAAAACATTGCATCCAAATTCATTTGAAAGGTCAAAATGTAAATTTTGTAGATAATTTATTCCATCACTAGTTGACGTCGGCTGTGGTTTTACATACAGCAACACAACGCCTCTTCATCTTATTGACCACGCCTAATTTTCTTAGTTAGCCACGCCTTTTTCTTCAAGCTTTAGAATTACTACAATTGTGTAACTGTCAGTTGTCATCTATCATTCGAATAATTGACAATTGAGGTTATCTTTTTCAAGCGTCGTTTTATATTTTTGAAAATAGAATTAACAAATTGGGTGAACAATGTCGAAAGCGCATCCTCCAGAGTTAAAAAAGTAAATGTTGCTTACTGACACCGATTCAGCGCTTTATAATATGTTTTTTGCAGATTCATGGACAAAAAGTTGTCTTTGAAACTGAACGGGGGCCGGCAAGTAACAGGAATCTTACGAGGATTTGATCCCTTCATGAACTTGGTAGTTGACGAGTCCGTAGAAGATTGTAGGGATGGTTCAAAAAATAACATTGGTATGGTGGTAGGTATCTCTTGCATATTACAAAAATTTATTCATGATGATATTCCAATATTTCTGTGACGATAATACATGCTTTACAGAGGCATTCAGCTTGCGATTGAGCACAAACAAAATTATTTTGTTGAATTTCATTAAATTAGGGGACAAATCTGACCACAAAGGATTATACAATTTTTAAGCTCAATTTCGAGTCAAAAACTTGGATTCAAACTGTATTTTTAGGTAATGTTAATTTTTTTTCAGGTGATAAGAGGCAACAGTATTGTTATGATAGAAGCCCTAGATCGAATCTAATCTTACATTATCTTTTAAGTTAATTTCTTAGCTAAGCAATATTTTGTAAGGAATGGAATTATAATGAATAAAACAAACAATAAACCTTGTCAATTACCTGGTTTGTTGTAATCAAACTTTTTTGTGGAACATTCATATACCAATACTTCATGGTTTTTTAATCTTTTCTTTCAACTCTGAATACTTTTTGTACTCCTAGATGAGAGGTATTTTATTTACCTTCAAGAACATGTCTGTTATAAAAGTTATTAGATTTTTTACTGTGCTCTATACCAAAAACAAGTTATAACTAATCTTTATTTTTATAGCAATATGCCAAATTGATTTACACTACATTAAAAAATCCAACTGTACTCCATTATTCTTCTGCTGCTTTCTTTTGTTGTTTTACTCGGAGACGTCTCTCTCGTTCATACTCCTTCATCCTGATGACAAAACTGAAAAAAAAAAATCATCAAAAAAGCTAAGTGGCTACAACATCATATAAAATAATTTTTCATAGTTAAAAAGTCACTTACTCATCATATCTGCAATTAAGGTAAGCATGTTTTCCATGGTGGCATTTAGCGGCCCAAGGCCAATTATCCCTTCTACAACTTCTGTAAGCTAGCAAATGGTGCGCACAGTAGTCTCTTTCGTCTAACGGAATTTTTGCTGAACGCAATTCTTCCTCTGTTGCTATCATAACTGCAATAAACATATAAAAGGGTTCAAAGAAGGTAAACTTGTTGGTTCCTTTAAAACAAACACTAAGCAATGTTTATACATGAAACTGCCTTTTCAGATATAAGTTTATGCAAGTTAATAAAATGTATGAGCTACCTCTTTCTTTTCGGCCGTTTTCAAAGCCCATCAAAGGGTCAAATGTAGGTTCTTCCAAGGGACTGGGAGTGATTTCAGGATGGAAATATAAATTAAAGCCGCCCGTCGCGTAAGTTGTCACCGAGTTTCCCATCTTGAAGACACCTACTGAAAAGGGGCTGCGGATGCTCAAAAAAGGCAAAAATATTTTTTGTTATTAGGTTAGGTTATGTAATGAAATTTTTGACAGATATACGTCACATTTGGCAGGCAAAAGTTTATCTACTGGCTGGTAGATGGCGCTCGAGCATGGACAAGTGACATTACTAAAATGTGCCAACTTGACGTAAATTTGAAATTAAAAAAATAAATGAGGAAGATAAAAAATATACTTTATTATTATTTCACATAATGATAATAAAATCAATGTTGAAAATACAGTTTTACTGGAAGATGCGGTGGCAGTTAGAATATTATCCAGTTATCAATTCTGTGATAAAACCGTATTCGAGTGATACGAAATTATAGCCAGTGACGAATACTTGTTTTGGATTATTTATCAAACACAGAGTAGCATTTCGTAATAGAATAATTAAAATTGATTATAATGACTTTATTTAAACATTCCACTAGACCCCAGCAAACATTCTGTCAGTCTGTGTGTCAAAATTTCAGTGCAGATATTTGTCTTTCAATACTTGGACTGCTAAAGAAACTATGGCAGAGGAAGTAAAAGCTGTTTTAAAAAATGCAGATGCTGTCTGTTTTGATGTGGACTCGACTGTTATTAGAGAGGAAGGTATAGATGAACTTGCCAGGTTCTGTGGAAAGTACAAGGAGATAACAGAACTGTAAGCTGCTCAAGAATGTTTAGTTTCAGTGGTAATTTTAACATATTTTTCAGCACGGCAAAAGCTATGGGAGGCGGCATGACATTCCAAGAATCTCTTAAAATGAGACTGAGCATTTTGAACCCTACAAGAAAACAAGTCGATGAGTTCATACGAACCAAGCCTGCTACTTTAACTCCTAACGTTGAGTAATAGGATACTTTTTTATTGCCAGATACACTTTTTAGCATTGTTATTTTCAGCAAATTAATCGCATTGCTACAGAGGAAGAGAATACCAGTTTATCTTATTTCTGGAGGATTTAAATGTATCATTGAACCCATTGCACAAAAACTGAACATTTCCGAAGAGAATGTATTTGCCAATAGGATGAAATTTTATTTCAATGGTAAGAAACTATTGAATGTTCAACAAAAATATTCGAACTATTTGTTTTAGGCGATTATGCAGGATATGATGAAAATGCCCCGACATCAAAAAGTGGAGGCAAGGCTGTGGCGATTCAACACTTGAAAGACACCAAAAGATACAAGACTGTAGTCTTGATTGGCGACGGGGCCACAGACTTGGAAGCATGTCCTCCTGCAGATGCTTTTATAGGTATTCAGAATTTGAAATGTATTTTTCGATATTAACTTTTGAATTTTCTAGGATTTGGTGGAAATGTTATCAGACTTACAGTGAAGGAGAGGGCAAAATGGTTTGTTACAGATTTCAATGATATTATCAATGTGATAAATTAAGATGTATATGTTTGATGTAAATAAAAGTCTAATGTCCTGTTTTTTAACAACTCATTTATTCACCAAACGTCGCACACCTCATTTAAGAAATTATATTAAATCTATCATTAATATAGCACAGGTTTACAACTTCAGCTTGGTTCTACGCCAATGACGCCTCTTGGCATTGTATCTGAAACAAATAAACAAAATCGTAAGCATAAGCACAGAGAAAAGCTAACAATCCAGTATTTTCTTATCATCTATCAATCATGCAAGTATACGAATAAATAACCATGCAGCTAGACACGCAAACTCACACAAGAAAAACCTTAGGTGTCGATTAATATAATAGTTGGATACTTGGAATGTTACGTTGCATTTTTCTATTTTTTCTTACCTGATTGTGTTCCCTGTCCTCATTCTTACCCATTGAGGAATAGGCCTGTTTTGCTTCAGCTTTTTAGCAAGCTTCCTTTTGATGATAAATGTCTTGTGAGCAGACTGGAAATAGGAATTATATTAGTTATGATATAAATTAGAACGATCAAAAATCAATTTAAAATAGTTAAAATGTTGAAATATGAAAAGATTATTAAGATAAATTTAAATAAAAATTTACCATTTTGCTCGTTCAAAGAATAAACTTGAAAAGAAAAACGTCAAACTTGACGGCTGACTTTGACGGTTATTGGCACATAATTCTGACTGTCCAGCACAGCGATGCCAGCTTTCGACTAAATTCCATACAGACTCTATAAATGAATTTTTAAATCTTCAAAATCAGTAAGAATTATGCATTCTATATTTTATTCTATATCTTTTATATATTGTTTTAACAAGTAACTATTTTTCTGTAGTTTTGACCTTGACCTGCTAAATGAACTTGTATTGTACTCTTTTGTCTTGCTTTTTAAATTGTTTTATCTATAGTATGGTGTAACAGCTGTGTTAACTCGATTCACATTTATCGTGATATTTTATTGTGCCACTTTCTTGTGACATGCCATGTGAACTTTAGTTTGGAATTTAGCTAAATATACTGCTACTACTACTACTATTCTAGCTAGGAAATGACAAACCACAATATAAGATAAAACCAAAAGATCATTCGGATCTTGAATTCACAAAACATATATTCACCCACTCCATTTACGCATTTACTTCTCAATTTATTTGAAATATTGTAAATATGCTGAGTATAAGTTTCAAATGTTACATTTAATATGACGAATTTGTAAAGATAGTGAGACGCGTTATAGACAAAAGTATATTAGTGGTCTATTTGAGCAATAGTTGTTTGTGTAAAAGCTCATTATGTTCAGAACGTTTTGAAGATATCTAGTTTCCATTACATATTTTGAAGCTTGGCAACACTGACGACTAAGCATTTTGACAGAAGACAGAAAAACCTGACGTTGCCGTACCGCGTTCGGCAGCACAATATTGCATTGATTTTTCTACAGTCCTTTATCTAAATTGCAAATTTAAGAGACATATTAGCTGCTTTTCAAATGAACAATATTATTTTGAGTGATATTGTTCCATAATCTGTTGTGTTTTCGGCGTTTATCAGGAAATGTTATATAGCAAACAATGGGAATGTCGGTTTTATTTGACGGAACGCAGCTTAGTTAACAGCAGCATGGCGTCTATGCATCACGTTAGTGCATTGTTGTCAATTTTAATGTTATTATTTGATATTTAATTGGAAATCGACACTTTTCCGAGCTGTTCATCGCGTATCCTACATTTTGGGGCACCGAATAACGATAAATTTGAGGCTCCAGTGCTAAAAGGTAAGCTGAAATCGTCAAATTCCTTGTATTATTTCTTCGTAAACGCTGACCTTGAAACATGGTGTCAACGTAAAGCAAAATCAGTGGCGGTTCTTTGGCATTTTTGGAGGGATCCTTAGCGAAACTGTGGTTGCCAGACGCTCTGGTTTTTCAGAATAAAGCTCCCAGATATCCAAAATCGTTGAATTTCGTCGATCAATATTTTAAAATTCCTATACGCATCGTCCATCGATCCTATTGGTCCAAAGGAGATATACTGACTGGCAGTATTTTCACCATGGGAACTTATGGAACAATGAAAAATGCTTGCCTTGCAGGAATCTTTGAAATACATTGAAATGATGGATAACTGAATATTTAAAATTCTCATTAACATAAAATCATTTCTCACCTGCAGGCCCGTACAAATTCACAGCCTTGTAAGGTGTATCCTAACTGATCAACACCCACACAAAGAAAATCTTGATAGAGGCTATATATACTTTTTTTTTTTTTTGAAAATTGCTAGAGCAGTTGTCCTAATTTAATGCTTTTTGTCTTATACAACATTTCTCTGAATCAGTTTAATAAAAAAGCTATACTGAAAAATGCATATTTAAAAAAGGAAAAAAGATTCAGTGTACAACCTCACACTTTATCGTTCATATAGAATATAAACATTTTTGGTGCAGTCATTGTTAAAGAGATACATGCAATGATAAACAAAAATATAAGAAAAAAAATACATACAAACATTACATTTCAATATTTGCCACTAATGAGCCTGTGTGGTTGATGTGAAAAATTTAATATTTTGATTATTATTACAATAGCACCCTGCCCTTGGCGGCTTGTTCAAAATGGAGGCGAACAAAGCAACGAGAGAGACGCTAGAGAATATAGTCATCGGAGATGGCACCACCACACCCCAGTATATGATCCAGCGTATCCCTGAGAATTCTCAGTTGCTCAGCTCCGAGCTGCTACAGAATCACAATGGACTTGTAGTTGATTTGGGAGGCACAGATTTTATACCAGTCAGCTACTCTTCGGAGGATTTGTTGTCGCAAGATCTCACAGAGGAAGATAGAAACCTTGCAGCCGCCTTGGTTGCTGTGCAGTTGAGTCAGCAGCAGAAACAACAGCAGATTCAAGATGCCGGAAGCTTGCCATCTCTTGTCGCCAACACAAGCTTAGGTGAGTTTATGACAAACGTTAATTTTGGGAAATTTTTACAAAGTTCAATTCCATCATACATATTGAAATTCTAGCTGAAATATGATGGTACAGTAGAACCTCTATTAATAGAATTAATGCTAACAGTATTGATTATAGAATGCTCAGAACTGCAGAGACAAGTAGTCAAATGTTAGTTAAAAAATGATGTGCCAAGACTGCTGACATAAAAATAAGTGAATTAATCGAAAAAAATATCCATAATATGCATTATAGATTTTTAAGTGCTACTCCAATTTTATAGAAAAAGTGATACAAGAAGGCAGATCTTGAGACATGAATTGATATAATACATATAAAAAACTATGATGAAAATAACATTTTTTGGGTAATTTCCATTTGAAAATGAGATATATGGAATTTTACATGCACATCACAATGAACCATGTCACATATCTCCGTTGATCTCTCTGTCTGACTGCGCTAATCCTTGGCTTCTCTGTAACTCTGAAAGTACTGGCCTACTGGCCAGATTACAAAAGCTATTACTAGGCGATGCTGATTCCAGACGGGCAATCACGACGTGGATTACGGACGGGCATTCGTGACTAGCATTCCTGTGGTACAATCACGACGTGTATTCCTGACGTGCAGTCGCGACGTACGATCATGAACGTGCATTTCGGACGGGCAATCACGACGAGCTTTCTTGACGGACAATCACGATGTGCATATTCCACGTCCAATAGCGACGTGCATTTTCCACGGGCTGGTCACGGCGTGCATCATTGACGGGCACTTACGACTTGCACTATGATTTTTGTACTACAGCATCGATTATCACCGTGCCCATTTTAAATCTTTTCGCAGATATTTTAAGTGTTTTATTAGCAATTTTATTTTTATTTAGGTTTTGACGTCCACATATTTTTTTAAATATTTTCTTCATCTCATGTATCTTTGTTTACAAGTAAGTATACCTGTTATTGAAGGAGCCAAGATCCTAGAAGACCAGCCACTGATAATCAGCAACGAGAAAGGCGGTACGACCAGCTTCCTGCGCATAGTCAACTCGGACAACATCTACGTGGAGCAACAGGCACTGCCGAAATTGGTGGACGCTGTCAAGTTCTCCGCGGTTCAGGCGCAACCAGTGACCACCGTCACTGCGGCACAGCAGGTTCAGGTATAGTTCACGATATACTTATTTTTTTCTGCTAAAGCGTAAAAAGCACTAATACTTCCATATAGTTGTTTTGAACTTAGCGAATAGCGTGCCATGAATGAAGCGACTTAAACAGCTAGCCCTCACCTCCTTCCCGCTCCCCGCACCTCCACTGACTAGCGGGTGCCGCTTCAGGAACTGCCTTCTCGGTTTTATAACTCTTTTACAACCGTCGATTAAAATCGTAAGCAGACTATAAGTCTGTCGTGAAGGATAACAAATTCATTTAGTTTCGCAATCGGCTATTTTCTAAAAAACTTATTTCCATATTTTGTACCCAAAAGTATATTCTAAGATGTTTTTCTGATGATAAGTAGCAAAACGGCCTTCAAGTTCAAACGTAAAATCTCGCAACAGGATTCTAGCATGACATGATTCGTTTTTTTTCACTACTAACTGAAGAAATCACCATTATTTTCTACCCGTGGGCAAATAATGACAAAAATACTCAGGTGAATAATGTCGCAATTGTATGTTGTCAACTTGTCAATTAATTTACAGCAGGTGCAACATCAAGATGAAGACCAAGAAACAGTTACAATTACGACTGTCGTGGAGGAAGTTCCTCAGCAAAACCATCAATTGGTCAAGAAGGAAGATGATAAGGGAGATTCTGATAGGGAATCGCTTAGGTAAGTCGATTTTTCTTTTTGCATCGCTCAAAAAAAAGAACGGCTGAAGAATCACCCGTACAATTTTTCACCTCGTGTTTAAGAACGCTCATGGTCTTTGGATATATTTAATTTGATCCTTAGGCCTGAAGACGTTATAATTTTTTTCAGAATCTCGCCTTCACCCTGTTATAATAATAATAAATGTCTGTATTACTGCTTATCAGGGAGGCGAAGTTTAGGTAAAGGGTGAAAAGAAGTAACAATGATAAGACTTGATACACAAACAAACAAAAAATAAGAAAGAGAAAAGTAAGTAGATAATATGGAAAGATAAAGTATTTAGAATCAGCATACGTTTTTATAGAACAAAATTCCACATATAAATTAAATATAGGAGAGTCCCCAGAACTGACCCCTGCGGCCACCAGATGAAACAACAGTAGTAAGAGTAACTAGAAATTTTTGAGTGAAATTTACTCATTTTACATCAGTCTAATAATTGCTTTATCGTTTCAGGAACGAACAACGCACGTCGAAAAAGAGCCTACCGCATAAAAAACGCATCTCTCGCAAGCTGAACAAAAAGGCGCCAAACACTGCAGGAGGACCGAGCACCAGCTCAGCAGCCAGAAAGCAGATCGTGTGCAACCAGTGCGAGCAGATTTTCACTAGTCAGGATGAGTTTGCTCAACACGAATTGCTCTGCCAGACGACCATCACGCCTGTCAATTCGTTACCGAATTCGTTCGCGTGTCAGATTTGCAACACTCCATTCACCGATCAACTGAAGTAAGTAACACCATTGGTATGTTACGTGTTTTAATTTTGCATGTTTGGGGCACCTCAAGGTACATAACCATTTTTCCTATCATTATTGTTCCTACACAAGGCGCCAACAACAAAACTTTTCGACTATTCATGATGTAGATTAATTTTACAAAACGTTGCTTCCTATTCCTAACTTTAGCCGTAAACGGAGCTTCTTTTCTTTTTATTTGTGTCTATATACGCAACGGACCACGCGTTTCTTATAGATCGTACTACATAAATGTTGCCGAAACGAAGTGGGACACGACCTGACGAAATAAAGTGGGACACCACCTGACACGAAAAGGGTGACTCGATCTGACGAAATGGAATGGGACATGATCAGACGAAACAAAGTTTAACACGACCTGACGACATAAAGTGGGGCAAGATCTGACGAAAAAAGTAGGACACAACCTGGCGAAATGAAATGGGACATGACCAGATGAAATGAAGTGGGACACGACCGGACGAAAAAAGTGGGAGAAAAAGTGGGACACGACCTGACGAAAAAAAGTGGGACACCACCTGACAGAAAAAGGGGGACTCGATCTGACGAAATGGAATGGGACATCACTAGACGAAACAAAGTTTAACACGACCTGACGACATAAAGTGGGGCAAGATCTGACGAAAAAAGTAGGACACGACCTGGCGAAATGAAATGGGACATGACCAGATGAAATGAAGTGGGACACGACCGGACGAAAAAAGTGGGAGAAAAAGTGGGACACCACCTGACAGAAAAAGGGGGACTCGATCTGACGAAATGGAATGGGACATCACCAGACAAAACAAAGTGGAACACGACCTGACGACATAAAGTGGGGCAAGATCTGACGAAAAACGTAGGACACGATCTGGCGAAATGAAATGGGACATGACCAGCTGAAATGAAGTGGGACACGACCGGACGAAAAAAGTGGGAGAAAAAGTGGGACACGACCTGACGAAAAAAAGTGGGACACCACCTGACAGAAAAAGTGGGACTCGACCTGACGAAATGGAATGGGACATGACCAAACAAAATAAAGTGGCACAGGATCTGACGAAAAAAGTGGGACACGACCGTCCGAAATGAAATGTACACGAGCTTGCGGTCTAAAGTGGAATATGGCCTGACGAAAAAGTGGGACACGACCTGACGAAAAAAAGTGGGACACCAAATGACAGAAAAAGTGGGACTCGACCTGACGAAATGGAATGTGACATGACCAGACGAAATAAAGTGGGACAGTATCTGACGAAAAAAGTGGGACACGACCGTCCGAAATGAAATGGACACGAGCTTGCGGTCTAAAGTGGGATAGGCCCTGACAAAAAAGTGGGACACGACCTGACGAAAAAAGTGGGACACCACCTGACAGAAAAAGTGGGACTCGACCTGACGAAATGGAATGGGACATCACCAGACGAAACAAAGTGGAACACGACCTGACGACATAAAGTGGGGCACGATCTGACGAAAAAAGTGGGACACGACCGTCCGAAATGAAATGGACACGAGCTTGCGGTCTAAAGTGGGATATGGCCTGACAAAAAAGTGGGACACGACCTGACGACAAAAAGTGGGACACCAACTGACATAAAAAGTGGGACTCGACCTGACGAAATGGAATGGGACATGACCAGACGAAATAAAGTGGGACAGGATCTGACGAAAAAAGTGGGACACGACCGTCCGAAATGAAATGGCACTCGAGCTTGCGGTCTAAAGTGGGATAGGCCCTGACAAAAAAGTGGGACACGACCTGACGAAAAAAAGTGGGACACCACCTGACAGAAAAAGTGGGACTCGAACTGACGAAATGGAATGGGACATGACCAGACGAAATAAAGTGGGACAGGATCTGACGAAAAAAGTGGGACACGACCGTTCGAAATGAAATGGACACGAGCTTGCGGTCTAAAGTGGGATATGGCGTGACGAAAAAGTGGGGCACGACCTGACGACATAAAGTAGGGCACAATCTGGCGAAATGAAATGGGACATGACCAGACGAAATAAAGTGGGACACGATCGGACGAAAAAGAGTTGGACAGGACCTGACGACTAAAGTGGGACACGACCTGAAGAAATAAAGTGGGACACGACCTGGCGAAATGAAATGGGACATGACCAGATGAAATAAAGTGGGACACGACCGGACGAAAAAGTGGGTCAAGAGCTGGCGAAAAGAGTGGCGCTCGACCTGACGAAGTAAAGTAGGACGCGACCGGAAGAAAAAAGTGGGACACAACACGACGAACAAAGTTCTTATGCCTGAATGTTACTTCCCGCATAATATAGGAAATCCTTTGCATCGACGGCACTCGGGCGAGGGGGAGGACGTCCATTCTGGAGTTGGCAGCAGAGATCTTGGCAAGCACTTTCTTTGAGTCGATGACAATCGTTCCATCTTGACACGTAAGTGGTGGAAGGCTACTCTGTGAGAAGTTTCTTTCAATCTGCGTGAGCCGCACCTAAAGACCGGATGAGTTTAAAGTTTCCTGAAGGGAGCCTTACCTCTCAAAGTACCCAATTCAATTGTATTAGGTGGAATATATAGTTCCGTTTCCCTTCCACAGATTCTTCGAACACTTGAAAAAGCATTACGAACCCGGCGGTGGCGGCCTGCCGACCGGCCCGCCATCTACCGTCGTCCAAGTGGTGACCAAGCAAGAACCGCCTGCAGAAAACGACGACGTCCACGACGAGCCACAACCGCCTCCGGTGGAGTCGGTGGAGCGCCACGAAAGCCTCCTCAGCAGTTTGCTCAACTTGACCTGCATCCAGTGCAACAAAACGTTTCGCAGACAGAAGACTTTCGAGGCGCATATGCGGGATATTCACTCGAACAAGGAGGAGCAGGTCGACGAGTTCAGCGATCCTGAGGATCTTATGGAAGGTGAGACGGATGTTCATTTATTAGTCTCATACTACTTACTTATCTTCACTTTGTTTTCTTTTACCCTTCTATTTCTTATTTTCTTTTGGGAAGCGAGATAGTTTTATTTATTTTACACTTGTTGTTCTTTCTTTACAAGTAAAATTCATTTTCCTTTTCTGCTTGTTCTCTTCTTTGTTCTTCCATCTCTTTTCTCATTGTATTCTCATTTACTCGTGATTCTTAAATCGTGTCCTTTTTTCAGGTATAAACGTGGTGGTAGACGGTAACGATGCAGCGGACGAAGAAGACGACTCTAAGGCGTGGTATCGCGAAGAAGATCTCCACCAAACAGAAGAGGATCTGAGGGAATTAGAAGCTGGCAATGATCACGTTTGCCACCTTTGCAAGCAACCCTTTCCTCTTAGGGCCATTTTGCTGCAACATTTGGTCACTTGCAGGGCATCCAACGGGAGCAGCGCTACCGGTAAACTATTTTCTAGCCTTTTTTTGGTCGTCTATTGATACCGGAGTACCATTGCATTTAATCATCGTTTTCTTGACTCCTATTTACTAAATAATTTTGTAAATTGTATAATACTGATCCTTTAAAGGTCTAATAATACTGTTACAATACATTGTTTCTCATCTATACTTCTTCTCCAGCCTTCCACCAGCATTCGGATTGCTGTTTCTGTAGAATTTTCTTTTGATTTATGTTATTGACGTATAATGAAAATGTTTCAGAATCCGCCCCACTGGCAGTGGTGAAGAAGATCAACAAGAAGAAACAGAAGAAAGCTACGCACGAATGTACCGAATGTGACAGAAAATTCACGCACAGGAACTCATTGGTGTACCATATGCGTAGCCATACCGGGATCAGACCGCATCAATGCGACCAGTGCGGCAAGAGTTTCTTTGCGTCTAGCGCTCTCAAGGTTAGTCTTTGTTTAATAACAATTTCATGTCAAACTATATAAAGCCAATCTATCACATTTCTGTTTCCATGGCAGATGTAGGGAAAATATGTGTGATTTATTATGTCTATCAGGCGCGTAGTATCTCTGAGATCAGCATCTTTTTAATAATAGAAGGTTTTTCACATGCAACAAGTTACAGCGATTCACCGCATACAGCTTCCAACTTCGGTACCAGTTAAGATCATTTTCCGTTTTGGCAAGCTTGTGAGCAGGAAGTTGCAGTATTAAAACATTCTTAGTACCATAGTTGGTACGGTACTGTGGTAGCATCTACTAAGAGAGACGTACCATCTGCAGACATACCAAAGTCGTTGCCGCTTAAAACATTTACGTATATTATTGTAGCGTTTTTCTGGGTTATTTTGGGTGTGGATTAAAACACTGGATTCCACAAAAATAAATCCACTAATTTATTTAACTTGATAAAACATTTATATACACCACTATTTGTGTCTGACTAATTCTTATGTCGCCATTGCCTGCACTATACTCCACTCTGCTCTGCTACTCTACCGTTCTACGTACTCTGTTTCCATCTCCCGGCCGTCGAGTTATAAATAGTCCTCATTGCTGCTTCGAGAAAGGTCTGGTGAACCACAAAGCGGCATCTAGAATATTGAAGGTCACTTCGCGTCGATCTACAAAGTGGTCGTTGTCACATTATATTTAGCATAGGTCCGAGCATTGAGCCCTGAGGAACTCCAATATCGCATGTGGTTGAGCAGAATTTGAGGTTGCCAACTTGTACATATCGAGATTTATCGTTTAGGTAGCTCTCAAACCACAAGTGGAAAACGCCTTACACCGTATAGCTCCAGTTTTCGTAGTAACGAACATACTTAACGCCATTTTCTGCTGTTTCAAACGTGAATATACACGGTGGCCAATATATAACTGGCTGATTGAAATTGCACACCATTTTTGATACACGCATTTCAGTAGGTGGCGCCGTAGTAGTTGTTTAAAGCACATGTGTCCAATTCATCATGGAGCGCTACACGACCACACAGCGCGTCCGTATTGTTAAAAAGTTTTACTTAAATAATCAGTCGATTGTTGCATCGATCCGGAAGCTACTACAACATTTCAGTCGGAATAATGAGCCCAGTGTCAACACCATTCGTCAGTTGATGCGGAAATTTATACAAACAGTGAAGTTAAAGACTAAAGATCGGGTCGTGTTCGTACTCCGGAAAATATCGAGAGAGTTCGTGAAAGTGTAGTGGAGCGCCATGAGACGTCTACCAGACATCGTTCTCAAGGACTGGCATTCGTCGCACGTCATTATGCACTATTTAAAAAAAAGACTTACATTTACAATTCTGATAACCCAAGAACTACAGCCTAGTGACCATAAAAAACGGCGACAATACAGTTATGCAATATTGCAGCTTAATACCCAAAATAACTATTTTTACCGACAACTGATACTGATCAACAGCCAAAAAATATCCTAAATAAAATCAACAAAATATTACTATTTTTAATGTGCTAAAACCGGAATGAAACTTATTTTTTCAATATTAGTTCAAGTTTTAGAGATACGGTAATTATATGTGTTCCTGCTGTGACAGTGTTAATATACTGTAATTCACAAGAATGCACGTGCTACATTTTTATATTCGGCAAGGAAAGATGATGTAATCGGCATGATTGTGTTACGTTATACATACGTGTACATTATATTGTTTTATATTAGCCATTTTTTCCTCAGTTGGCTGACAGCGTTCAAGCAAGATGTCTCGAAAGTGTGTAAACAATCCAGATCAGTTTTGTTACGTGTGTGGTGATGTGACTTTTGCGTCTCAGAGACGGTCTATTACTCCACTAATAACAAAGGCATATCAGCTTTATTTCGGTTGTAAACTAGGTGATCAAGACAAACAGTGGGCACCCCACATCTGCTGTAATACATGTGCTTCAAGTCTGAGGAGCTGGTTAAATGGCAAAAACGGTCTATGCGCTTTGCTGTCCCAATGGTTTGGAGAGAGCCTACAAATCATATTAATGATTGTTACTTTTGCATGGTACCTTGTGTTGGACAAGCCACAGGTATGTCCAAGAAAAAAAAATCAGTTATTAACTACCCAAACATACCATCTGCGATGAGACCTGTGCCTCACAGTGACGAAAATCCTATTCCAAACCCTCAGAATCCTACACTTGCGAATCAGAAAACGAATCAGATCATGGCGATCGAGTGATTCGTCAGGAAGAAGATATGCCATCAACATCAAGAGATCCTGATTTTATACCGAGCACGTCATGCCACCAACCGCACAAAATAACACAGTCAGAATTAAATGATCTTGTAAGAGATTTAGAACTTCCAAAATGTAAGGCAGAGTTACTTGGATCAAGACTGCATCAGTGGAACTTGTTAGAAGACGATGTTTCGGTATGTGTTTTTCGTAAACGCCACAAAGACTTAGAACCATTTTTCAATATGGAGAATAACTTGGTTTTCTGCAGTAACATTAACGGCGTACTGGCGGCTTTAAATATAAACTATAACCCAGAAGAATGGAGATTGTTTATAGACAGTTCAACATTGAGTTTAAAGGCAGTGTTATTGCATATTCGAAATATTTTACCATCTCTTCCTGTAGGGTATGCAGTTCACATGAAAGAATCATATGACAATATGAAGTACCTATTGACATGCATAAAATACGATGAGCACCAATAGCATATTTGTGGCGATTTAAAAGTTGTTGCACTTTTACTTGGGCTGCAGCTAGGCTACACAAAGTTTTGCTGTTTTTTGTGTGAATGGGACAATCGGGCAAAGGCACTTCATTACGCCAGACAAAACTGGCCTGTTCGTCAATTCCTAGAGCCAGGTCAAAAAAATGTACAGCATATGCCATTAGTAGATTCGAAAAAAATTTTATTACCACCACTGCATATCAAGTTGGGCCTAATGAAAAACTTTGTCAAGGCATTAGATAGAGATGGGTCAGCTTTTCAATACCTGCGTCAGAAATTTCCAAGACTAAGTGAGGCAAAGGTTAAAGAAGGTATTTTGTTGGGCCACAGATTCGAAATATTTTGAAAGATACACAGTTTGAAAACACTTTAACAGGTATTGAAAAAACTGCTTGGAATGATTTCCGTCTGGTGGTCACTAATTTCTTGGGAAATAGAAAAGCTGACAACTATAAAACCCTTGTCAAAAATATGCTGTCATCGTATCAAAAGATGGGCTGTAATATGTCTCTTAAGATACATTTCCTACACTCACACCTGGACTTTTTTCCTGACAATTGCGGAGCCGTAAGTGATGAGCACGGCGAACGTTTTCATCAGGATATTTCAACAATGGAAAAAAGGTACCAGGGAAAGTGGAATCCTTCCGTGCTTGCAGACTACTGTTGGACTCTTGGTAGAGACGCTCCAGAAACGATCTATACGTTAAAAGAACAGCAAAAAGACAGCGCATATAGTGATTCTTATAAGTATATGAATCTTAGTACTTTTTTTAATATACCCATAAAAATAAAAAGTTTTTTTTCTAAACCGCAACTAATTTTTTTATTTCATTGTCATTTTTGGATTCAGCGCCCCAAAATTAACAAAGAAGTGCACTTTTCCCACAAGATACAATTAAAAAACTAAAATTTATTGTCCAGTGTAATGAGCGATGAAGCCCACTTCGATATGAACGGATGTGTTAAGAAGTAGAATTGTCGAATCTGAGCATTAGAGAACCCTCGTGTCATCCATCATCGAGGCGGACATTTGTCTGAAATTATTTTTCATGCATAATTTCTAAATTTCAACGAAAGATTAAGACGAAAAAATAGACGTATTTTATTTCATTTCACAACATTCAAGATACAAACCAGGCAGTTACATATCGACCACCCTGTTAATACTCGTCTTTGTATTCAGGTGCACATGCGTCTGCATTCCGGCGATAAACCGTACAGTTGCGAGCACTGCGGCAAACGATTCCGGCAATGGGGCGACTTGAAGTACCACATCACGTCTCTGCACTCGACCGAGAAGAACTTTCAGTGCGAGTACTGCGGCAAGGAGTTCGCGAGGAAGTATTCGTTGGTCGTGCATCGTCGCATACACACCGGCGAAAGGAACTACAAGTGCGAATATTGCGGGAAAACGTTCAGGGCGTCGTCGTACTTGCAGAATCACAGGAAGATTCATACCGGAGAGAAGCCGCACATGTGCAGCGTTTGCGGGAAACCGTTCAGGGTCAGATCCGATATGAAACGGCACCAGAAGTAAGTATTGGTTAAAAGTAAGACAAACAGGCAAAACTACACTTGAGCGCATAAAGAATCAAAATTTCTATCACTTTCTATTTATCAGTAGACGTAAAACTTGTAAAAGTATGCTCAAAATTACAGAACCCCTAGTCGGTGTTGCACTTTCTATGCCATTTAGTATATTCAAAAAACAAAAGTGAATTTGGCCCCCTGTACTTCCCTCATGAAGGACAAGAGCGTTGCCAGATCCCTCGCAGTGTTGCCAGCCTGCTACACCTCGTACGCATCTATTACCTTTCTTAATTCGAGTTTTCTTTTGATTTAGCACCCATGCCAAGACGCCCGGAGTGAAACCGGTTCGTAACTTGACCAAAGTGGAGAAGCACGAGGTGATAATCGATGAAGAAGAGCTGAGCACCGAATTGCACATTGAAGATGACGAAGCTGCCGGACATTTGCTCACCGAGTACACTCCAGAGCAGTTGGAAGCGGCCGAGAGGACCACCACGGTCAGGGTGCCTAACAGGAATCTGTAAGTTCTATTTTTGTATGAAAATATATTAGGGTGATTCTTATTTTCAGGGAGAAGAAATTAATTGTTGGGAATTATTATTATCGTGGTTTCAATCCTAGTCTTTGGAAAATATTCAAACACTTTGTTGTAACTCCAATAGTTGTGACAATTTTAAACAAATCTGTTTGTGCTATATTGTTAGTTAATTTACACAATTTTTTCATCTGTTTCAGATACATCAATGGTCACGAACTGTTCCTGGTGACTTACCCCAATGACCTGAGGCCCGGAGAAGCGCAAACTTCGACTGCCACCTGGGTTCATACAACAACTGCTTAAATGCCCTTGGCGATCCAATAGGCATACATACGCAGAAACCATTATTACTAATAATATATCACTTACTTTTCGCAGGATTCAGGCTGTTATGACATCACAAAAATACGAAATTTCTTTCCTGATAAAGACATGTCTTCTTTCCATTCAGATATCTACGTTCATGAATAACTTTTGGATACCATTCAATATTATTCGATGTCGTGGATGGGGGGCTTAACGCGTCAAATTGACAGAATATACAGAATCGCATTTATGACTACCACGTCGGGCAAGTCTGTCGGAAAAGGTATGTGGCCGGCTTTATTGCGTTTGCGCTTATATCTAATCATTCACCCACTATTTCTGTCTAAAAAGAAGGATGATGTTATTACCCTGAGATCCTGTGTACACTTAAACTTGTAGTGTATGGATTATTGTAGCAACATTTAGACTATTTCATTAAATGTAAATACAATCATATAGTTTCGTTTTTTATATATTAACTATAATGTAGGATAAGATTTTTAAAAGCTCCCGCATCGCACGGAAAGATTTTATATCCAGCTTGACAATTGATGGGTCTAACTCACGTTAAGCTGCGAAATGATTGTCCCAAATTAGAAAGCAAATTTAGTGTTGCTGATTTTTTAAATACTGCTTTTGGTTATGTAAAATACCTGAATCTTTAAGGTACATTTATTTTTGTTTTATATAGGTACACTGTAAAGGAACCTTAAGATCGGAAGCTGATGTATCATTAAACATTGTATTTTATAGTATATGTTATGTATAAAGGAATAATAAACAATAGAAAAGTATGACATTTTTATTTTAATGAAAAAACTTTTTGAAATTGTCCACATCTAAAGTGACTTGTTTTTGATACTTCTTGAATACAACTTCTCTGTCTTTTTTTCACAATTTATCGACGAAATATCTAAACAAACAATACCGAAAAGTTCCAAAATTAACATTGACTACAGACATCTGCCATGCTTATACTGATTCACACAATTTTTTTCGTGTATAGCTACCTTAAAATTAGAACATCAATGGTTCACATTTTATTCCGTTACCAGCGTCAAATTGGCACACTGTACAGAATCTCATCTGTGAGTAGCACATCGGGCGAGTCTGACGGAAACGGTATGTGGCCGGCTTTATTGCGCTTCTACTTTCTTATATCATCGTTGACCCATACTATTTCTGCCTTAAAACTGAAAGTATGAGGACCCTGACAGCATTCTAGTTTGTTATTGCCCTGAGATCCTGTGTATACTTAAATATTGACGTATTATTGTAGCAACATTTGAACTATTTCATTAAATGTAAAATCATTACTCAATATGTTGAATATGATGGGTTATTTATATGTTGTGCTGTCTGAAGAGAGGTTATGTTCAAAGCTATAAATTACGAAAAACTGAGGAAAATTACGGGAAATCATCACCGCGCCCGCGTTGTGTATAATTACTGTTAGCATGGCTTGTAATTAAATAGTGTTCAGTGAATATAATTATTTCTTCAAGTGGATGCGCAACTAATTTCTAGCTTTGAATCTCAATTAGGTGTATTTGAGACAAGAACCCAATGTAATTATCATCAACACATACTTACAGCTTAGACCTCCTGTAATGACATCTCAGAAGCAGATTGTACATCACATCAGAGCCAAAGATTGATAACAAGCCTCATGACGTTCAGGCAACACGTACAACTAAGTGCTAAGTCAACGTCTTGGCGAAAAACCTACACAATATCAAAAAAATCGGCATAATGTCACTTTTCAAGATACGTGATACCCGTGCCGATGTACAAAGGAAACGAGATGCGTATAAGTTTTTGTGCATTCCAAATCGGACGGTTCAAATATACAGAATCGCAACTATAGTTAACGTCGGGCAAGTCCGTGAAAAAAGTATGTGGTCGGCTTTACTGCACTTGATTGACACAGCTCGCTTCCGTGCTGCTGTCAGAGGCCAAAGTGAGGTTATGTAAAATGTTACCAAAATGATAGATCAACAAATTCTAGCAAAATACAGAAAAGATGTAGACCAAATTCGAAAAAGTGCCAAATCCTTGGGCCTAAACGACAAAGAAGTAAACGAGATATTCAAAGAATCACTGCGAGACCTAAGGAACGAAATACACGGCTCAAATCAGACTAGTAAACAAAGGACCAAAGCTCAAAAATGTATCCGTACTTTTATATTTATTTCTATTTTATATATGATATTTATAACTTTTATTTATGTTTTACTGCGTGTTCATCAACCTACTTACAGTATTGTATTGCGGAATGTACAGGGCTTGACACACCCTGTATTAAAGTTTGTTAGAATGTTAGCTGTACCTGTTATAAAACTGTTCCCATCTTTAACTGGTAAGCAGTCTGTATTTAAACAGAATTTTCTATTCATAAAAACAATCTTGATAAGCTTTATGTTTGAAATGCAGTTTTTTATGCTGAAACTAAGATACTGTTTCACACAGTAAATTATCAATAAATATTTTATAAAAAGGCTCAAATTTTAAAGATATTGATAATCAAGTTACCTGTTTGTATAGTGAAATTTGACAAAATAATCAGTCATAGTCATGCATGATTCTTTTGTTGATAATAAAGGCAACCCGACACAGTTGATTGTTTTAATGTTTTTCTAAAAAAATTACTGTTTAATGAATGGTCCATTATACATTACATATAATAAGATACTTGTGTTTGTTTCTAATATTTACATAATCATGCTACTTGTTAAGAGCAGTCTTGTCAATAAGAGAACATAGTTTGTTGAATATTCTTTTTTTTTTTTAGATTTATATGAGGAGAGCTGCCTGATTGAAAATCCTTACTTTTATGTATCTGAAATGGAATGTTGGCCATGTGAAAATGTCAATACTGTGGTTGACATCACTGAAAATAAGGAGCTTTTCAAGTCTGGTGCTGGAACACCGTTTGTTGCCAAAGTAATTAAAAAAATATTTCAGCATGATTGCAACAAAAGAGAAAGTTCAGACAGATGTGCACTCAAAATGACCATTCGCATTTTTTTTTAATTAACTTTAAACAGGTCTAAGCTGCATCAGATATTTTATTCAGTATCATAAGAAAAAAGGTTGTTTATCAAAATGTGACAGCACAAAGTAGCATCTGTGATCAGATGAATGAAAGCTATATTAGTAGTTTTTTTGTGTTTAGATCAAATATAATATTGATGCATGGACAATCTTGTAAAATCATTTCAAAATCCTTTACAGATTGATCAAGAAAAGTAACATTAAAAACCTTAGAGGAACTTTACGCTGCCAATAAAGCTGTGCTGGGACCTGAAGCACATAAAATTAAATCTTCCACTTGCCAAATTCGCCATTTTAAAGATTTGTTTGCTAAGGGCATTCCTTCTGAAGCACATGTGACATGGAGATTGAACAAAATGAATCCTGGTAGGGTGATTAGACAGGTGTTCAAGAGGCCTCAGTTTCTTCCTGATAGGTAATGAAAATTGATGAAGAATATTGTACATAGGGTGTACAAAAAGTTTTTTTAGTTGGTCACTAAGTGACCTTAAAGGGCAAAGTCATTCCAGAAGGTGAAATCTTCAAGTTGACTTTTAAATTACTATTAGGGTTCCGCTCAAGGTCACTTTCGTATGCAAAACTTACGCGTTTGAAATGACCCTTAAGGCTCTGGTGAAGGTCATTTCCAAACGTAAAACTACCAAGTCGACTTTTAAATGACCAAGCTAATTTCTGAATGCAACTCCCAAGTTTTAAACGACCTTGACGGTTCTAGTGAAGGTCATTTGCGAACGTAAAACTTCCAAGTTGCCTTTATGACCTTCATGACTCCGCCCAAGGTCATTTCGTAACGTTAAACTTCCAAGTTGATTTTTAAATGTCGCTGAAGGCTCTGCTGGTGGTCATTTCCGAACGCAAAACTTCCACGTTGGCTTTTAAATGACCCCGATGGCTTCGGTGAAGGTCATTTCTGAACATTAAACTACCAATATTACCTTCAAGGCTCCACCCAAGGTCATGTCTGAACGCTAAATTCTCAAGACTTTTAAACGACCTTCAAAGCTCCGCCCAAGGTCATTTCCGAACGCAAAACTAAGTTAACTATTAAATGACATTGAAGGTCATTTACGAAGTAAAACTTCCAGGTTGACTTTTAAGTTACCTTGAAGGCTCTGATGAAGGTCATTCCGGAATGTAAAACTTCCAAGTTGACTTTTAAATGACCTTGAAGGGTCTGGTGCAGGCCATTTCCGAACGTAGAACTTCCAATTTGACTTATGACTGTCAAGGTCCGCCGAAAGGTCGTTTCCGAACATAAAACTTCCAAGTTGACTATTAAATGGTCTTGACGGCTCCGGTGAAGGTCATTTCCATACGCAAAACATCCAAGTTGACTTTTAAACGACTTTCAAGGCTTCGCTCAAGGTCATCTTCTAACACAAAACTTCACCAAGTTGACTTAAATGACCTTTGAGGCTCTGGCGAAGGTCATTTCCGAACGCAAAACTTCCACGTTGGCTTTTAAATGACCCCGATGGCTTCGGTGAAGGTCATTTCTGAACATTAAACTACCAATATTACCTTCAAGGCTCCACCCAAGGTCATGTCTGAACGCTAAATTCTCAAGTCTTTTAAACGACCTTCAGATCTCCGCCCAAGGTCATTTCCGAACGCAAAACTAAGTTAACTATTAAATGACATTGAAGGTGATTTACGAAGTAAAATTTTCAGGTTGACTTGTTTTGATGAAGGTCATTCCGGAATTTAAAACTTCCAAGTTGACTTTTAAATGACCTTGAAGGGTCTGGTGCAGGCCATTTCCGAACGTAGAACTTACAATTTGACGTATGACTGTCAAGGTCCGCCGAAAGGTCATTTCCGAACATAAAACTTCCAAGTTGACTATTAAATGGTCTTGACGGCTCCGGTGAAGGTCATTTCCATACGCAAAACATCCAAGTTGACTTTTAAACGACTTTCAAGGCTTCGCTCAAGGTCATTTTCTAACATACAACTTCACCAAGTTGACTTAAATGACCTTGGAGGCTCCGGTGAAGGTCATTTCCATTCGCAAAACATCCAAGTTGACTTTTAAACGACTTTCAAGGCTTCGCTCAAGATCAGTTTCTAACATAAAACTTCACCAAGTTGACTTAAATGACCTTGGAGGCTCCGGCGAAGGTCATTTCCATACGCAAAACATCCAAGTTGATTTTTAAACGACCTTCAAGGCTTCGCTCAAGGTCATTTCCGAACATAAAACTTCATCAAGTTGACTTAAATGACCTTGGAGGCTCTGGCGAAGGTCATTTCCGAACGTAAAACTTCCAAGTTGGCTTAAATAACCTACAAGTCTCCGTCTAGGGTCCAAGGTCATTTTCTAGCGTAACATTTTTCGTTGCTTCCATTGGTTGGATCAGTGAGATAGTTAAATTTGACATTCTTAAGTCGACCGCAAATGACTTTGAAGGTATTTTCAAGGTCAACTTTTGCTTTAACAATATTTTCTTCGTGAAGGCTTATTACGATTGATAATAAAGATAACTTGACTTCTTTTGGTTTTTTATCGTTTCAAAAAAGAAGCAATCATAATTTCATCCCAATAAGATTCCAATTTGCTGTAATCTTTCGAGTTAGCAATTTTTCGAATTGCGTTTCTTCCAGGGTAGGTCAAAGCGTGGAGAGATTCCTATTAATAGACGGACCTGCAGCTGTGCCATACGAACTGCCGAACACGGAGTGCGGCTACGTCTTCGTTTTGCAAGGATCCGGAGAAAGGACCGTCGTGCTGAAGCCATCCAGGGAGTGCAGCAAAAAGTGCAAGACAGTCTCTGTGGTTCTCAGAGAATCTCACGTCTGTAAGTACCAGTTACATCACAGCGAAGGTCAAACGTTATAGATGTGACACCGCGGGAGCGTTCAGTCGCCGGTCCGACCGTAGCTGTAATAGCAAGCGTTTTTTGTCGCTCTAAAGCGCAAAGCTGCCGTTTATGATCAGCCTTTGCACAACGCTAATTTTGCGTACAACATGTACTTTTTTAGCCTGTTATAGGAAAGTGTTATTATTCGGATACTTATTTTTTTCAGTGTGGTACAACTGGTGGTATTGGCGACCGATAAGCCTTCCTGTATCAAATTCTACGGAACCTTCCATCAGCTACGTAAACTCGTACTGCTAAACTTTTTAATCGTTTATATTTTTTATAAACATCTTTATTGATCGAGAATTTTACAATAAAATTTTTCTTTATATCAAACACATTGGTCTATTTATTAACGCACAAATAACACCATACATCCAATATTTTATTGTTTTTATTATTAGGCATTCTGCTTGTTTCATTAGAAAAAATAGCATATCAGGTTTACACAATTGTAATTTCAAAAATGCACAGCATCTCTAAAATAATCTAAATGAAATGCAATCATTCATAGAACGCTTTCCATTGTTTGTAAATCTAAATCATGTTTTCCCAACAGATTCTCCACAATGAATATAAATTTTATGTAATACTATATATATCTTTTTCACACATAAGAAAATATACGACATACGATTGGTGTTTAATGATTTTCAGTATTCACATACAATATTTTAAATATCATTTCTAGTTTGTTCTTTGTATATATCTATATCAAATCACATCAACCACAATACACAATATTAACTTCATATAGTTACATCTCAAATAAGAGCTTTATATTGTACAAGGGTCGTTTCAAAATCAAGTTGCGCTTTGAAACTACCTTTGTACTACCAATACGGACATATATTTAATAAGTTGGTCTTTTAATATTGAGACGCGTTTATCAAATTCGTCAGCATTTTTATGATTAAAATCATAATTGAAGGTTGCATCTCAATAGTAACCCCAAGAAATAATGCTATTTGTTTCAATAAAAAAACTGGCAATTTTATGTATATCCGATACATATATCAAATATTTTCATAAAATCAATATATTCGAAAATTGCTTTTTGATAACGATTAATTTAATGTCTGCCTGTTTAGGTTTATTCTCAAGGTCGAATCTAACGCGCGTATTTTGGGGTCACTTTTTGGCGGCTTAAATCTCGAATATATCCAAAGCAAGACTTCATGATGAAATTAGTCTATGTCTCATTAATTATAGTCAGTTCGGCGATAAATAAATATCTATTTAAAAGACTGACAACTTCGATGATGTAATGTCAAATCAGACTTCAACATTGTGAACTGTCAATATGACTGAGGTCTAATCGTTACTTTACAAATACGGTATCTTCCACCATATCTTACCCGATCGTCTTTACGATATAATTTACGGCAAAAAATTGAAAACAAAATAGGAAGTAGAATAGTCAAGGTGGTCAAAACACATAATTGCCGACTCGTTGACTGACATTTTTTTCAACACTTGCTCCACCTTCCTATCCCATAACATCTGACTATCACCAAAGAATACAGAGTTACCAACAGAAGAGTTACTCCATCGAAAAAACAGATTACGCCTCTGGTGGCTGGAATGCTACCTGCCATTCGGATGCGATCACCCATTCATTGCCTCCCGTAATAGTAAATTTTTACCGAAATCGTTGCACAACACTTACAAAAATTGGAAAATTGACGCTCAAAATGGCTCCGTCGCTACCCCAGGCTAGACATTAGTTTTGGCAGCTGACCCTGTTATTCGTGTCACCTGGATTGCGGTGTTGCCGGCTCATCTGACGTTTTTGCTACCTTGCTATTTTATTAGATTGTTATGAAACTTTGAATAAAATATTGAGAAGCATAAGAACTAAGGGATAATAATGTTTGTCAAATAGCTAAAGGTAATTCCGATAAATATTCCCATTGTACGAGCAAGAACAAACAAAACAAGACTGGTGGTGTTTATGTTATAAATTTGAATTTCTACGAATTGGTGACAAACTTTTAATCATTTATATCTCGTGCCCACAATTTGCACATAAACATAAAATAATTATTTACACTGTAGATTTCCAAGTGTATAAATAGTGTGTGTCTAGGTATTTTGAGGCAACATCAGGAGTAGCATGATATTTTGATATTTAAATTACAGTAAAATACTATGCTTCATAATAAAAATAATGCATTTAACAAACTTCAGAATGAATATCGTAAAACAAATAAATTTTCCGACTTGCGACCTTATACCAAGTTTTGACAAAATCGGCACTGTGTTTACTGAGGTTGCATAGTGACAAAGACGACCTCACGACAGATGAATCATCGCCAGTCATTGACGAAAAGGCTAAGAGCCATTTATCAAGCAAAGGTATTTGCTTGCCATAAAATGATTACATGAATCATATTGTATGAATACAATTACTCGACAATGTTTTGACACTGTATTCCTTACGTACGACAGCTCCACCCTGCATAAATCAATAAAAAAGTGTGGGACCTCTTCAAGTGACTCACCTAAAAAAACGAGTTTCTCAGATCAAAGGCTTTTTCGCGAGCGCCCGTTCTACCGGTAACTCTGTATTCTTCACTATCGCCCTATCTACTTCCCCGCAAACAAAACAAATTAACCTACGTCTCGCCCGTTGCGGTTTCTTCATCCTAGTCCTCTTTTTGCTTGAACCTGTTCTTCAGGAAGATCGGCAACAGCGAGACGACGGCGAAGAGGGCCAACCACATGATCGACCTTGGATTGAAGGCGGAGTCGTTGACTGTCATGTCGTTCAACGTTTGCCCCGTCTGTATGGCGATAAAAGAGGGCGGAGCCACGCCTACGAAAGTGCCGAAGGCGAATGGCGCGAGGGGGACTCCTATCACAGGTGATGAGAGGTTGATGAACCTAAAAAAAAAAAAATGGCCTCGAGTAGATCGACTCTACATTTCCTACGCCTTCAACGAACAGAGTATACGACTGTCAAAAAATTGAGATTTACCCTCTTCCAACCCCTGCAACGCTTAACCCCCAATTTTTAATTTGTCCGAAAATGGTAAGGACCCTACTTTTGATGTACAGGGTGTCACATTTTCGATGATATTACGGGGTATCTCGATTAAGAGTAAAGATAGAGAGATCGACGCCGTCCTGCTCTTCTTCACCATTTAAGAACATCTCGAATGCTTATACACGTTTTTGCGTGCAAAAATCGGATGACCGCAGGAATTTCGCCGCTGGCGGTGATGCCGATAAAAGGTTCTAGGTACTAAGCATCGCAAATAGGCGCTTTTTGTTGGGATCGGTGACGGGGGAGCCGAAAAACACGACAGTGTTGCTAGATTTCGCCTAGCTTCACGCGCGTTAGGAACCATATTTTTCCCACGCCCTCGTATTATAAGTCAACTTGCAATCATTATCGTTCCGATGCATGATACAAATACGTGATGTATTATCTTATAATTGCTGGAGGTCTGGCCTATTAGAACTAAAACGATTAACTTTAATATGAATATAAAATTTCGAATCGCCGAGTTGTATTACAAATAAATAACGGGTTAGGAGTGATACTCACCAGTTAGGCAAGAAAGGCGTTATCCTTAAGAATACTATGTAGTTAAATAAATTATCACGATGTTTGTTCACTTGAACTGCCCATTTAGCTGCTCTTTCTGGAAAATAGGCCAACACCTGGAATGTACAAAAAAACGAAATACGATCACTCTGTAGCGTTTCAATTGGAAAATGTTAAAAATCTGCAACAAAATTGATAACTCACCAGTTTTCTTCCCAACAATTGGGAAAGCATAAAACATAAAGTTGCTCCTATCATAGAGCAGGTACAAACTAAAGCTAAGGCCATTGTAAAAGGGAACAGGAATCCTGAGAGAATGGATAAGAATAGCGATCCTGGAATGGCAAAAGTTTGTAGACTGTATCAAAAAAAAAATTAAGGAAAAACTGTCATCACATATTGAAGATATACATTCAAAAAATTTATACCTATGGAATATTATTTTGTTTTTTTTTTCTAAGGCCCAAATGCAAAATTCCGCGTCAAAACTGTGTGTATTTTTATAGAATGTGACCCTACTTATGTCGTGGAAAGTAAGGTTTTACCAGATTTGATATTCTCTGAAATGATATGGTTACAGAATAACAATCAAATTGCTCTTACATAGGATTCAAATAAATTATTTATCAATGTATGAATTTCAAATATTTTTCACCAACATTAAGTCAAAAAAAGGAGAGATTGCAATCTTTTTGAAAAACGGATGTAAAGGGGAAAAATTCTATTTTAGCTTTTGAAAATGTGTAATTTTGTCAATGTATAGATGACACATTAACCAACAAATATTTAAGAATACGATTTGAAATTTTTTTTGGCATTGTTAGTTTTTTGCAAACGAATGCATAAAAAGGATACAATATATAAGTAATAAAAACACCAGCCATTACTTGGTAATAATGGTCACTTTTATATCGATTTAAAACAATTCCTAGTTGTTTTGCATCTTCCATATTCCATGGCAATTTTATATGTTGCTTTTCTTCCCTAAAATACAATATTACTAGTAGCTTTGTAGATGAAGTTTGGTGTAAAGTTAAAATTTGAAATTGAAAAAATGTGTGGCAGGCATTTTCGAAAGTCTTATTGTACGAGCTTTATTCCTGAAAACAAGTGTGAGATGTACTTGGACATGTTAGAAAATACAATAGAGCCACAAATTACCAAAATAATAGAAAATGACTGTATTGTACGGCTATAGAGAAAAAGATGTTCCGCTAGAAATCAAAATATAACAGGAGAGTCACAATTGGGGATGCAACCTTTCCGCAGGGCCAGCCTGTATGTTCCACAATATGCACGATATTTTACATTATTTGGATGGTTTATTTCCACAATTTGTCACTTCATAAGATTTTTTTGGCGTTCCAAATGTTACATCACCCATATATTACATATTTATCACAAAGATCTTTAAAGAGAAATACTTACTCAGTCACATTTGGAAATGTTTGATAGACTAGAAATAACGCAGTTAATGATGTCAAAAATATTACAATGACAGATATGGTTGCTGCCTTTGTAGAAATACTATCCTTAGGTATTTTCACTGGAAAAAAGGAAGAAAACATTAAAATACATTTCGTTTCAATTCCGCATCTGTGCTTAAGAATAGAATCTTAATTACTGTATGCTATTTTGGTATCTAACTTTCAAATCGGGGGAGTGGAATTTTAGGATTTGTTTTTTCAATTTTCTTAATGACCTTAGACTTTTTTCTGTGTTGTTATGTTAAGTTGCTGGTTTATGGCAACAAACCAACAAAAATTCACCAACTGGAGATCAAAATCATTCAAACCAGCAGTAAGATCCAGTCCAACTTATGCAGCAGAATTTTACAAGAGGTGGAGGCCATTTGAATGATGTAATTTTTACAACATAATGATATTTAATGTACTTTAATACACAATTAAAGTTTCCATATGTCGTACACAACTCATTTTATTAAATTTTAAATTTCAGACTCACTTAATGACCCTTTAGCTATTCCTATCAAATTTATGTTCTGGCACTACACAAATGACAAAAATTGAGGGATCAAAAGCATGCTGTTTTTCATTATGACAACTGTAGATGTGTATTGAGCAACTTTTCTAAACTGTCTCATATTAATTGATAAATCTGGTAACAATTACCCGCAAGTATAGGATTTCAAATATTCAAGTTTTTACCAATAATGTAAGATTTGTCTCACTTATGGTAGTGTCCAGGTTACTAGCACATTCACCCTACCTGAAAACTAAAATCCTCCTACTTCTACACAAAATAATATTGAATATGCAAAGTTTAAGGTCCAACCGGATCACCCGGGGGAGCCCCTGCTCCCTCCGTTCCGGCGCCCAGTATTCAGTATTTACATATACTTTGACACATAAGAGATACTTTGGGACATAATCTATAATAATGTGGGTTTTCTTCATCAAAATTCTCTAGAATGAGAACTAATAAGCTAATTAAAAGTAAATAAAGTATATTAACAAATTTGAATCTATGGTTAACCTACAATGCCCAGGCAAGGAACGGTCAATATCAAAGGTAGTTTGTTCTGTAGGAACCATGACAGGAGCAGGATGGGAAAACGTATGTGGAAAAGCCTTCTATAGGGTCTGCGGTAAGTAGATCGTCCACTACATGAAAAACTGGACACGAATGGTCTGTAGTATCTATCTGATGATGATGAGATTTCCGCGCATTGTATCAGTCTCGTACCTATATCCGCTTGCGAAGTCATCCTGCAAATGTAACTGGTTACTACGAAGCACTACACCATTCGAGTGTTTGTTATAACATCGTATAAAAAGAACTTTCATTCAAACATTGAGAATTACATGCTACTTTCCACCACTTACGCACTTACAAATACAAATGCAGCGCGCATGCGCGGGACACGTGCGGATCACCTGACTTTTTGTCTGATAAGCTTGGTTCGTCTGGATGCGGACTTTGGACACTCGCTTTGTCAATTTTTGATGAAGAATTGTAAAAATTGCGTAAACTATCTCAAAAAAAAACAAAAAACCTGACATAAAGCTAAAATTAAAATATGATTGCCAACAGTGTTGCCAAGCCGAAAAGAGCAAAATCGGTAGATGGTGTCATTGGAATTTGGTTGACTCAATGACAAAATCGGTAGCCCGAAAAAATTAGGGCCGTCGCAAGATTAGCAGTAGATCAAGAGCCTTTGCGTCACGCAGCCCCGTCTATGGAAAAATCATATGCGCAGACACACTGACTTCTTCTACGGATTACAAATAATACAGGGACTGAAGAGTAAGGGATGTGCATACACAATTATAGGCAATTCAGATCTAAGACCTTTGTGTGCCCGACTTCCTGAATATACGCATACATGCGAAAGTTTTTCCCCATTACCGTAACTAAAGGTCTAATTTCGGTAGAAGTTCCGACAAACCGGTAGAATCGGCAACACTAAATGTCAAGCGCCACCTGTTAAATGAATATAGAACGTCATCCTTCAGAAGTAAACTATGCAGTTCATAGATGTCGCTAGACGCCTCATCTTATTAAGTGTCATCTGCTGGCCATTTTTTTCATTCGCATTATTTAGCACCTAGAAATCTATATGACTGATTGGCATATAACTGATGGAAACCAGTAGATGGCGCCATGTTGTTATCGAGTTTAGGACAGGACCGGACTTAAATTTTTGTTTTAGTTTTCAAGATCGGTGCAGTTGCAAGAGGCAACAACCTCGTATTAGTGAGAGAGATTCTTCTAGCTTGACTATTTATACTATTTATTATCGATGAAGATAAGGGGCCAATTATGTCCAGTAGTCCCACAAATAGCAATTTGAGGTTAGAAAACTTTTGACTTTCAAGCTGAAGTTCCTTTTTTTAACTAACCGCGTAAGGCCCTAAAAGGCAAATCGCTTTGTGATAACTTACAGCAGGTATTGAGAATAACTTCTACCTAGGCTGTATCCGCACAAACATTTCCAAACAAAAGGGAATTTGAACAAAAAACGCGTTCACTATGCAAGTGAAGGTCAATGAGTTCATCCAAAAGACGAGATCAGCTGTTTTTTGACGCCATGTTTTTGAAGTCATCTTTTATATTTTTCTAATTTTATTCGCCTTGTCTGTTTTCTCTTTATGTGATCTTATTTGCATATCGGTGCACATCAATATTTCTCAAACTTTGATATTTTATTGAAGAAGAAGCCAGCAGATTTTAAATCCACTTACCCTCTACTAGTTACAGGCTTCCTGCAAGGTGGCGCCCACGTAAGCGGTTACCCCTCGCCAATAGATGGCGATATGTCGTTAATCATGTTTTAACAGATGACGGACTTAGGTTTTGTAGACAAGTTAGGAAAATCGGAAGAAATTTAGAAAAGCTAATTTCTTGTGAACCCGCAAATGTTTGTCAGACAATTAGAATAATCATTACGGGTTATTAAATGGACAAAAATAAGAAGCATCTTTGATTTTCCAATAAAATTTAATCAGTATAAAAAGTATAGCTAAAATACGGTATTTCGCACTGCGGACGATCGATGATGTCATCATCGAGGCACATGAGGAACATAAAAGTGAAATTAAAGCGCGGGAGCGCTGAGTAAGTGCCACACGTCGTGCTTGTCGTAGAAATCTAGCAGGACGCAAGGCTGGTTCCACTGTCTTGATTCAGCTGGAGTTACCCTGAAATTGAGTTAACAACCTACACACCAGAAACTTTGAATCGCCGGAAAAGCGAATGGGTTCACTTCACCATAATAGCTGAAACCTAGCTGTTGATACCTTGAGACTTCCGATATTTTCCCGCCATCCTCAATAGTTAAAAAAATAGTGAATCCGTATTTTTAGATTATTTTCGAGTATGATACTTACAGTCCATAACGTGGCTGCATCGAGGAAAAAAAATCCAGCTGTGACCCAGGTAGCGGCCCCTAGGAGCCCATAAATCGTTGCTTCGGGGCATACTCTCTCCCCAGCACATAGCTAGAAAGTGGAAAAATATATGTTTTTAATGTCTCATCCTAGGTAACTTGAACTACGACACTATGTAAAAAAAGCTGAACTGATGTTCATCAAAATGTCTGACTTGAGATTATACAAATATAATAAAAATCTATATACCTTCATGGAAGTATAAAAAATAGTTTGGATACAGCGTTAGCCATGAGTAGGCCAAGCAAAAATGTACCAAAATCAGTCACATTCCTTGAATAAAGACACAGTCCTGAAACCAACATTGCATAGTTGGCTAAGTTAGAGTTAGTATAGGCAAAATCTAGCTGAAAAAAAAATCGAATTAAACATTACATCTCCTAACTTATAACTAATATCTCTAAATACTCTAAAATTTTCTAGTTATAATCGAAAATTCTCTAAATTCTGTAAATTCTCTATAGTCTCCTGATTTGTTTAATTCTCTAAATCCTCTAAATTCTCGGAATTCTCTAAATTCTCTAAAGTCTCTAAATTTTTAAATTCTCGTAAATTCTCTAATTTCTCTAATTTCTCTAAATTCTCTAAATTCTTTAAATTCTCTAAATTCTCTAAATTCTCTAAATTCTCTAAATTCTCTAAATCTCTAAATTCTCTAAATTCTCTAAATTCTCTAAATTCTCTAAATTCTCTAATTCTCTAAATTCTCTAAATTCTCCAAATTCTCTAAATTCTCTAAATTCTCTAAATTCTCTAAATTCTCTAAATTCTCTAAATTCTCTAAATTCTCTAAATTCTCTAAATTCTCTAAATTCTCTAAATCTCTAAATTCTCTAAATTCTCTAAATTCTCTAAATTCTCTAAATTCTCTAAATTCTCTAAATTCTCTAAATTCTCTAAATTCTCTAAATTCTATAAATTCTACTCTCTAAATTCTCCTAAATTCTCTACATTCTCTAAATCTCTAATTCTCTAAATTCTCTAAATTCTCTAAATTCTCTAAATTCTCTAAATTCTCTAAATTCTCTAAATTCTCTAAATTCTTTAAATCCTCTAAATTCTCTAATTCTCTAAATTCTCTAATTTCTCTAAATTCTCTAAATTCTCTAAATTCTCTAAATTCTCTAATTCTCTAAATTCTCTAAATTCTCTAAATTCTCTAAATCTCTCTAAATTCTCTAAATTCTCTAAATTCTCTAAATTCTCTAAATTCTATAAATTCTATAAATTCTATAAATTCTATAAATTCTCTAAATTCTTAAAAAAAACTATTTCTGCTGTTTACCTTTTCGGACCGGCTTAAAGGCATCTGAAGAAAATCCATCTTTTTGTATCATCCTTTGCATTGCTTCAACCCATCTAATACGTGATTTAGGAAATAAATTTTTAGGGACACTGCTACACAGAGGGCGCTGTAAGACACCACAAATAGAACCCATACTGAAAGGCTCCCATTCAAGATACCAACTGTGGCTGAAACATCAATGGAATAAAACTTCGTTTGGAACATTAAAATAATAGAACTTTTTGTTTGTTTAGGTTGCCCTAAAGGTTTTTTTATTTCTGATAGAATTTTCTCTTACCCATAAATATGACGGCTCCGAGGACTGTAAAGGTAGTATAGGCTGTTGCATTGATATCAGGATGACGATTTTGATACAGTTTAACCATTATCAGTACCGTCATTACGTACATAAAACTAGTATCTAGAATATCAGAAAAAAATTGCAGAACACGGGTAGGTCGGGTAGGATTTTACGTACCAAACTGGTAGTTCGACTGACTGGGGCATATGTGATAGCAGGCAGAAAGCAAACCCTCTATGATAAGAGCAACTCCCATTGCATGAAATAAACCGTAAATGCACAGGAATTCCTTTTTCCTGAAAATAGATGTCAGAATAAAAAAAGAAATAGAAACAGTCAACTTTTTTTATTAATCAAGTCATATTGCTTACTTATGTTCAAAACACTATCATATGCTTAATCAGTTTTTATACAATTTCCTCCGTAATTTGTCATTTATTCACCTTTCTGAACTGGATAATCCTGTGTCTATCCATAACGACTAAAATGAACACAATGCCGAACACGACGTATCCGATATTCGAAAAATATGATTAAAATCGCTGAATCCAAATGCAGGATGGGCACAAAGAAAATTGTAGTAGCACATATCTTCGTTACCGGTTATGTTTTACTATCTGAAAGAAAATTCAATTATTCCTTATAAAACTAGTTATCTTTGTACGATTGTTTATCCACGACTGGCTAAAATTTGACGAATCGTTTGATAAAATTGAAAATAAACGCCCTCGTAACTGGTTCTTCGAATAGCGAGAAGATACCATCGCAAGATTAGGCAACCAGAGCTACATCATCATGTTCACGTGCGTGAGCGATCGTGAAGGTTCGGTTTGCCATCGAGAGCGTTCGAGAAATATCGCGCGAACGTTCTGAGGGCTTCTGGATTGGTCGATTTCAAAACATATGACGCGACGTCAGTGTAAGGGGTACAGACGAGATCACAGACAATGATCGATGAGTCAACCCCATAGTTCATAGTAATAAATTTGTCATAAATTAGTTACGAGTGTTATAAATCAGTGTTAAAGTGATAAATTAGACTTTGGACAGTAAAACCGGTGTGTTCATTACAGCTATTGTGTCGTTGCGACTATGTTTGCCTGTTGGCTTAAATAAAAAATTGGAGTAGCTTTTAGTAGAAATTAATGACCATACTGTAACGCCTCGTGACTGGGATTTTGAATAGCGAAGAGATACTTTCACAAAATTAGGCAACCAGAGTTACATCATCATGTATCGCAGCTTGCTGCGTGCTGAAGAAGCTTCAATAGTGATCGCGTTCACGTGAGTGAGCGATCGTGAAGGTTCGGTTGCCATCGAGAGCGTTCGAGAAGTATCTTACGAATGTCCTAGAGAGCTTCTGGACTAATCAATTTCAAATATATAGATGAGACGATCGTGGTAGGAGTACAGTCGAGTCTAAGGACAACGATGACTGAGTCAACGCGATAGTCCAGTCGATATAGTAATAAATTTGTTTTAAGTGAGTTAGCGTAAAAAAGTCCAGAAAACCTATTCATAAAGCACTATTTTTCGCCCGATCGTAGGTAAAATGATTTAAGTTATATTTAATATTGTTTTTTTTTTCAAATGACATCATAAAAAGAATGTTGAATTACCCTTTGATAGGTGACAACCAACTGGACCACAGGAATACTGTAGAAAAGTGCAATGCTGAGCGTGTGTGAGAGATAGTTATAAGAGCGCTTCTTGATTTTTCGAGGTTGTCTGGCTAACAAAGACAAAGTCAACCTATTCTCTTGCAACAATTTACATACTTGTTCTCCGTCCATGTGATGATAATGGTCTGTCACGATCACATCTACAATCAAAACAGATTCATATAGTCCAAGAAAAACCTAAGCATTCACTATTATCCAGAAACAAGAATAGTCTAAGTGCCGTATCGTCAGTCGTTCTTTCAATTTATTGTAGGACGCCTTTATGGCCTCCTTGATTTTCATAGTTTTTCCTGTCCTCTAGAAAGGCGCTCTGTTTTGAGGTTATGTGATACATATCTATTTGCATCAAATTGTACATGCTTTTGATTTTTATCATCTGTTTCATCACCCTGAAATTTCCTACAATATAAAAAGAAAATATAATTAGGAGAGGGCTGACGCTGACACGGAGCAATAGAAATCTAGAAATACTGCAGCCTTTCTAAAGGGTAGAATATACTATGGAAATCAAGGAGGCCATAAAGGTGTTCTACAATTGTAAGAACGACTGACGATCGGCTCTAAATCTCCACAATGGCTCTAGTTTCGGAGATATTCTAACCCAAAGGTGCAGAAACAGCGATGTCTGCCTATATTTCAGGTTATGTATGTGAATTATTTAAAAAATAGAAACATTATCTGAAAGTACAAGCCTTGCCCTTCACATGCTGGTGAGTTTGCTTAAATATCTTTTTCTTTAGCTGATATATGACATTTTAAAATTTTCATCATGCAAAAAATAAATAGAACACACAAAAGAATGCTGTACTAGTTCGTACAGACATAAACCAATTTTTGGAATTTGTTTACAAGATTGTGTAAGCATGATTCGCTTAAAGGGATATTTTGAATAAGACTATGCAAAAAAAACAGAGTCCGAATGTTTTTCCGAGCGGACGTGAAGAAACTCCCCGGACTATAACCACACGCATTATAGATAAAGTACTGCAGGAGGTAAATGGAGATACAACGTTGCCAAATTTCAAACGATCAACTTTCCATGCCACATTTAAATTTCAAATGGAAAAAACGGGGTCGTAATAGTTTACTACTGGATAGAGAAGAAATTGTGCTATGGAGGAGGGATTATTTAACAAAAATTGGGAAATATAGAAATCAAAACAGGAAGATTTATTACCTTGATGAAACGTGGGTAAACGCAGGACACACTACAAGTAAAGTATGGGTTGATGATTCTGTAACTTCATCCAGGAGGGCCTTTCTAGATGGACTGTCCACCGGATTAAAAAATCCAGCAGGTAAATACGAGTAATAGACAACAATCGGATGTTTTTCAAACCTTGGGAACAAGGTTCTAAACATTAATTCCAGGGGGCAGATAAAACATATTACAAGTAACAAAACTTTTATAACTTTCGATAAAATGCGTGGATGTTTTATTGTCATTTTCATTTGTTAGAACTTTTTTAAGCCATGTTTTTATGTGTTTTCGATATTTCAATAATTTTTTAATATAATCTTAAAATATGTCGAATATTATAAACTTAAAAAAAGTTACTAAGTTTATATTGTGTACCGTTCCTATTTCTAATCATTTTAATTCATACTTTAAGCTTTATAAAGTTATAATTTGTTAATATTAATATTTGCGCGTATTTCAGGTTCCTGATCATTCATTTTTTAAAGGTTTATAACTTTAAATTAAATTGTGAAGCGCTGAGTAATCATACGACGTTCAATATTCTTTCTTTCAATATGACTAAATAATCCCAATTATAGCAATCTGATACTCATGTCTCAATGTTTTTTCGCTGAATGTGATGAAAACATTTGAAAAAGGTTCGCTTATTGAAATAAATCTACACCAGTTAGTACTTCGATTTCCAGGTAAAGGGAAAAGGCTCATTATCTGCCATATTGGCAGTGAGGATGGATTTGTTGTTGACGGTCTGTGGTGCTTTGAGTCTAAGAAAACTGGAGATTACCACGAGGAAATGAATGGCGAATCGTTTGAACAGTGGTTTTCAAAAATTTTACCGAACTTAGAGGAAAACGCAGTAATTGTGTTGGATAATGCGCCTTATCATTCTCGAAGAATGGAGAAGGTCCCAACAACGGCTTCAAGGAAAGTTGATGTTCAAAATTGGCTCCGCTCGAAAAATATCAACTTTGAAGAAGCAATGCTGAAAGTACAATTATTAAGAATTGTCAAGGATCACAAGGCGGAATATCAAAAATACGCCATTGACGAAATGGCAGCAAGTCAAAATAAAACTGTGCTCCGTTTACCTCCATACCATTGCGAGCTCAATCCCATTGAGCTCATATGGGCAGAGGTTAAAAATTATATAGCTAAGCACAATACAACTTTTAAATTTTGTGACCTCAAAGGACTTTTCAAAGAAGCACTAGAATTAATAACAGCGCAAAAATGGGAAAACTGTATTAAGCACGTGAAAGACAAAGTTGAAAAGAGAATGTGGGAACTGGACAATATTTTAGAGGAACAAGTCGAGCCATTCATTATTGACGTTGGTGCTTCAGGCAGTAGCGATGATGAAAGCTCATCAAGCTCATCTTTCCAATAAAAGATGTCGTTCATCAAATTCGGTAAGTTATAAGTAATTATAAAGCTACTGTATTTTTTAATTAATTATTGACATTTTTGAACCCATTTTGGCAAAACCTATTCAAGAATCTACTTTCTGACAATGTTCAACCATGCACATTTTTTTACGTTTTGAACGTTTTAATTTGGTTACATATTTACCTAGAAATCAAAAAATATACTAATCAATATTCTAAAAGCAATTTTAAGAGATATACGATTATTTTTAATTTAGGCTAATTTAAACGCCATTTTGAGATTATATTCGACTGTATTTCACCAAACATCAGGCGGCATCCGAAGCTGGAAATCGAAGCGAAAATTTTGAAACCCTTATGTATATTTACATCATTATTATTTCTTACCCCACCCCCATATGATCCTATATCCATCACCAATCGTATACACATCGAATTGTGCTAATTTACTACAAAGTTACGCAAAGCAGCATCTACTATCTAAAATATGTACTGCGTGACTCTTAATACGTCCCTGCCGAATGTTACAGCGTTCGATGATCACGTGGTCTTGTTTATGTCCGGTCTATCTCTTATCTGAATATACTGTACATATCAGCTGCTAGAGGATGTACCTTTGGACGTTCAACTTTGCACGGGATGTACGGCATTACTTAGACAGTGCCTTTCCTGGGCGTTGGATAGGTAGAAGTGGACACATACGATGGCCTCCAAGGTCACCCGATTTAGATCCTCTAGATTTTGTTATAGGATGGTTTTATAAGGGTATAATCTATACATTTGAATTTACAAATGTCAACCAACTGCGCCCCAAAATTGATGAAGCAAAATAAGAATTATGGAAAACGCAAATGCATTTCAAAGACTAACGGAGAATTTTATTAGAAGGTGTCGCTTGTGTATAGAAAATAATGGAGGCCATTTCGAACATGTTAGTTAAAGTTAAAGTTAGTTAAATTAAATTATCGTCCATCTTTGTCGGTAAATCGCCATAAAGAGCGGCTAAACACAACAGGTTCTGTCCTTGTAGGTGGTGAAGATTCTATTTCGTTTCTTACGTTTATCGCATCACAACAACGAATGCGGCATGATGCATTCATCTTAGCAAGCTGAAATTTTCAGGGTTTATTCTACATTGGTTGAAATAGTTTTTATAATAAAATGAATGTTGAAATTCAACCTAAATTTTCTTACCGCCCTCCAAAGTTGAGGGATGGAAGAGATTTTTCACAAAACAATGATTTAAACATTTTTTGCGTTGATTTCTAATGAGCTCTGTTAAAAAGTGAAATAACCATTGCTAAAACTAACCATTTAGCTCGTCTCGGAAAAAAAATCACAGTCTTAAACCTAATGGCTTAGTTCTAATTGCGATTGAAAGTTCATTATCCCGTTTCTTCGAAATTCCACGAAATTGCAAATATCTCGTGAACTATAAAATTTCGGACCACACACATAGGGGTTTATCCGATAAGTTTTCAAGCCTTCTATCTCCTAACTTCCGTTGATCCACTATTAACTTTACACTCTGTATAGACATGGAGAGCTAGGGTTGCGAAAATGCCCGGATTGTTGAACAATCTACCTGAGGAGGCTTTTCGCGGTTCTGTTAGCCTCAGGCAGTTCAAAAATCGGATCCTCATAGCCGCTGCAGCGCCCTGGTATTTAGGCTTCTACAAAATAAAATTAGGTGATGACAGCACTAGCCGTTTTCCAAACGGAAATCGACGAACCGCAAAAGCCGCTTATCCACTCAAGTCTAATTCGCACGCTGTTGGCAAAAGGAAAAGAATACGCCGTAAACGAACCACAGTTGACACCGTCAAATTCTCGTTTTATTACAGACCAGGATCGAAAGGAGCTCAATTTTCGTCTAATCGAGATAATTTTGTGGCAGTACGAAATTACACAACATCGCCTCGATGCCTTTGCGATTTCTCCGCTCGAATCATTTCGACGGTTTAATGAATTTTGAATGTGGAATAAGCTCATTTGCATATCGACACAATGCACGGGGCTAGAGGGAAGAGTTCCTAAATGGCTGACAAGCTCATTTATTATAGCTAATCGAGCAACGACGCGTTACGCGGCCGGGTTGAAGAACAACGAGTCATCGCCGCCCAGAAGGTTTTCTCTTCTAATTGTTTCATCGAAAACGGAATTCTGCAATTATTATTCGTTACGTTCGCATATACAGGGCGTTTCAGAACGATGTGCCAACATTTTTAGGGTGGAAAGTGTAATATTTTCGAGAACGGTGATTTTTTTTCCAGAAAAAATAATTTAAAAAAATAAACGTTTAAGGTATTTCCGTATGAAATTTTATATGGACTAGATTTTAGTCGAAGAACAAGATATCGAGATGCAGTTTTCTCGAGATTGTTTTCCATAAAAAAAGATTATATCAATGCATTCTTTTGTTAAGAAAATTAACCATTTCAATCGAAATAGGGTACCTGGACACCTAATATATGCAGTGTTGCCATACATAGCGGAATTCCGCTATTTGTAGCGGATTATTTTGAGAAGATCGGCGTAGCGGCGGTAGAGCAAATTAGCCCAAAATGTAGCGGAATTTATTACATACAAAACTGTCATATTTATTTCACTGTTTTAACGTTAATAACGTTCTGAATCCTAAATAGGCAGTGGCTAGAGTCCGATTTATTATCACATTAATAATAAAATTGGTGCATTTGGTGCCGCTTGAGCCATATAGGAACAGAGAAGAGAATTATTCCACTTGCCTTTTTTTTCAATAACAGATGGCGTACGTACTGCTTTCAATACTAATCGTTTCTAACAGGTCTCAGCAGGCAGACATAATATTAGGTTTCTCGCTTTGTATTGTATTTTTCAGCTCTGGGTATATACTGTTTAGTTTCGTTTATATTAGTGTTCTTATTTTTGTGTTGATCATTTTATTGATATATCATTTGCTGCAGATTTTAATATTAAATCTACTGGTAAGTAACGAAACTGCTTAAATATCTAACATATTATAGTTTGTCCAGAAATAAATCTTAGTCGCGAAATTTGTCTTTAACGCTTTTTCTTCTGGAAAATAGGAATAATGGAAAGGCGACAGCAGACCATTAACGATTTTTTTGATAAAAATCCGTCTAAAAAACAAAACAGGTGAAACCAAACGTGGCCGTACCATCCACTTCGACTGCATCTGTGTCGGACTCGGAGCATCCCGAACCTGAATACAGACAAAATAGAAGAGCGGAATCTAGTGGAATCAGGTCTGAGCCTGATAATTCGACTTGCGAATCTCAGGATAACCAAGAGCCAGAGCAACCTGTTAAGAAAAAGACACGAAAACAAATGTTTACTTCATCATGGCTAGAAGATCCGTTATTTAAAGGCTGATTGGGACCTATTGAAAATGACAAGTTGA